TTGGCGAGACCTTCACAACAGTATCTGCATAATGAGGTGACAGTGTAGTAAAAAGAACTCCACTATTTTTGCTGGAGTTACGAGGTCGTCTATTTAATATGGTGCAGACAGCTCAAACGACCCCATTACCAGGTAAAACGTGCAATTTTTGTGCGTCCAGGTGTGCTTTCAGGGGCCAATGTCTTTGCATCAAATTGCAGACTATTTTGCATGGGGGCTACCGACATTAACATGCGGGATGCTAGTGTTACCAGCAGCCTGATTTAAGAGGGCTTAGTGTTGTTGATGGGTATTTAGTGCTGCTTATCTAGTTGTCCTGTGTACTTGATATCTGTAAGCAAACCGTTCTGCTAGTTTGTACGCGAGCCGTATCCTATCATCTCGCATTATCACATCTTTTCCTTATTTTTCCGTCACCGGGGCAAATTATTGACTTTAACGTCTCCATTCCAGCCCAAATGTCGTAGAAAGTGCTGTCACTGTATTGTTTACTGAATTATGTGCGCCTCCCAAATTTGTCGTCGCATTCAAAGCCTGAAATATATTGTTTGCCATGCAGTGATGTTTTAACCTACTAAATGCCAGGCACATTGCACTAGAATCGCTTTGGCAGCGCCTTTTTATTCAAAGGGTATCTGTAATTTCTATTTTCATCAATTTAAGGTAATGGTCGTGACAACTGACATGTTCGTGCCGATCATTTCACGATCCTTGAAAGCACCAAACAATTGCATGTGTAATGAATTGCGTTTATTCTGTATAGATGTGGACAAATGCGGCATGATAACAAAGGGACTATTTTCCCTTATTTGGCCAACACAGGGAGGAATGAGATCGGAAAATAGTCGGGACTAAGTCTACTAAACACACGGAGACGTCGCCATGGTGATACCTCAGCGTGTTTACGTGCTGAAAGCATGCAACATGTGTTTTTCAAGTCATTGTGCCCATGTATTTCTAACCGTTATTTTCCTGTAAAGTGGGACACGAGACGCTTTGGTATTTTGCCTCCCAGCCTTACACGGTGCTAGAAATGGCTGTAGTTGGTAACACATAACACCTAGCCCATATCACCGCACCAAGTCCAATATCCATTAAAACGATTTTTACTAATATTTGATAAAATTGTTAACCTGTTGCAACTGCTTCGGACGTACTGGTTCAGATACGGGTTGCTTCAAACCGATGACACGCATGAACGAACGGTCAGCTCGATAAAAGGGAACTTTTCTAGTGTACTACCAACAAGTTGGCAGCGATTGCATTAAATATTAAAGGGCAGCAGTAATTTTCCTGGACAAAACATATGGACCGGGAAGCCAGATGCAATCCAATTTCACGTGGTGCCGACGATAACAATGCCTGGATCACTTTCGAAGCATGTGTATGGGCTTGAAACGGAAATTTTCCGACAAATTATAAGAGGTCAAATGAAATTTGTGTATGTATCGCCATAGGCGAAACATCACTATTTTTCTTCACTCTTTGGCAGATGCAGCTACGTCATCAATAACCAGTATAAAAGTTGCACTCGTTTGATCTATGAAACGCAGAGTAAAAATACCTTGTGTTCGCTTTTCTTTCAACAAATTCCTAAAGGAGTAACTTCACACGTTACGCACTTCAGTGTTAACACTCAAGTGTGGCACTATTGGGTGTTTGTATTGTTTGGTTGATGGGATCGCACGCTTCAGATTTGGAATAAGCATAACAGGGCAGCTTTTTCAAAGCAAAAACAAATGAGAGAGAAACGGCAGTTCTAGTTGGCGAACAGAGCGGACTGGTTCCACAGAACCTAACAGGATTCAGGGGATGGGCCGACTGATTTACCCATCACACAATACTCATAGCTGCAGCCGGCCAATTTCCAGCCGGTATGCGAGATTCCTTATACCAAGAACAACAAAAATATAAATCGGTAATGTTTTGGAATTAAAACAGTTCTTGTGGCATGAAATGTTATTTTACGAGTGCTCTGGAAATGTCAACGGAATGTTGATTGAATGCAGCTAAATGCAGTAGTGACAACTGGAACAGACAATGGAAAACCTAATGTTTTAGCATGTGCATAGCGTTTCGTTATTTCCAGTTAGCTCAATTGGTCGAGCACTGGACGCTGTGTAACTAACGTTGCCTAACTAACACACCAGACGAGGACGGTAGCTCGAACAATTATATCCTCCGTAATACCGATGAACGCAACCTGATCGCAGACAAAAGCCAGCTCATACCGAAACCAACCGGCTAAACCAGCCGCGGGAAAGAATATCCATATTGAGGCTGCCGGCTCCGCAACTCGACCTATATTGGTATGTCTACAGCACCCATATTGCAACGCATCAACATGCGTCTGCAGGAGGGAACCCAGGCCAGCATATGCGCAAAATCGGCAAAACCTTACAAGCTCTGACCTAACCCAAAACACCCTGAACCTAAATCGTGTTCACCCAAATGCCGTCTGCAAGTCCTGGGCCAATCTTCATCAAACAGAACTTCCAGTACATTGATTTTCACGTGTTGTTTGCTGGTGCTAGAATTTCAGTTTTTTGGTGAAAAAATATGAAAAGGTTCGTTAGAAATATAATGCATATATATACACATATTTCCTCATATATATATATATATATATATGCAAGTTTTCTTTTACGCAGGGGTAAATGAACATTTCATCAGTTTCTTGGGCGCTTGTTCGATTGCACGAATTAAATATTTCCTTATTTTCGGTAAGTTCCTAATCAACTCGCCGAAAGTCATACACATTAGTTTAAGCTAGCTAACGTGTCCAGGGCATTCGCTTCCCATTATCAAAGCAATCTAAGGCTGTCGGACGGAAAACATTCAAATATGGTACAGTGCGACGCATGCATACATTATATATATATATATATATATATATATATATATATATTAATGCCTTGGAAATATGTGAATGCGTGCGTACGCACGTATATACGCACGTGCTGGCGGGCGGACGGGCGTGCTTGTACGCTTGCGTGCGTGTGTACATACGTACGAGCGTGCATGTGTGCGTGCGTGCGTGGGTCCATGCGTGAGTGCGTACGTGCGTGCGCGCGTGCGCGTCCTCGCGGAACCGAATGAAAGTCAGGACCATGCCGCGACGGTTTTGATGGGAGCCAGGGACGACAAGGTCTGTTTGTCCCGTGTTTACCCGCAGACCGCGGGAGTGAAGCCAGGGACGATAAGGTCTGTTTGTCCCGTGTTTACCCGCAGACCGCGGTAGTGAAGCCAGGGACGATAAGGTCTGTTTGTCCCGTGTTCACCCGCAGACCGCGGGAGTGAAGCCAGGGACGATAAGGTCTGTTTGTCCCGTGTTTACCCGCAGACCGCGGTAGTGAAGCCAGGGACGATAAGGTCTGTTTGTCCCGTGTTCACCCGCAGATCGCGGGAGTGAAGCCAGGCGTCCAGTGAGTCTAAAGCCTGTTCCAGTTCAGCAATGGGTAGATGAAAGGAGTTTTTTTTTTTGCCACAGACTTAAAATTGGGCATGGCCATCGCTCTGCAACACGTGCGCCTCAGGGGCGTGGAAGGATTGGCAAAAAAAGTCTGGAAAAGGACGGGTGGAGCGAGAATCCTCGGCAGACTCCAATAGTACTGGGCAGCAGTCTGGAAAAGGGTCAGTTTCCACGTCCGTCAGCTGTACACACAGATTGATTGTGGCCACTGAGGCAAGAGGAAAACCAGGTTGGATCAATAGAATTGGTTTTGAAGTTGGTGTAGAAGTTTGCGTGACCAATCACGCTAAAACATTGGGACAGATCGATTAGGCAGAGTCGAGTAAGATCTCGACGGTCAATAGCGGTGAGCATGTGTTCGGATGTGGTAAGAAACATGATTTCCGTGGGCGGGAGTACAAGCTTTGCTGGGAAGAGGAGAAAATGTGTTGTCAGCCACGTATGAGTAGAACTGTCGATGATTATTACTCTCTCCAAGGTTGAGTAAGGCAAAATAGCGGAGGTGGGTCTAAAGTTGGAGGTTTCGGAAAGGCTCCCGAGTTTTTGAATGGAATGTGCAATGATGTGTGTCCAACATGTGGGTTATTTCCAGGTTATAAGACAGGTGTTGATAATGTAAGGGAAGACATGGACCATGACGTCGAATCAAAGTTTAGGAATTAGCTAATAGAGGTATCTTCAGATTCCAGGGGCCATGGAATTTTCGTCGACAAAATGATATTCTGAAGAGAGTCCAGAGTGATAGGATTGATAGAAAAAAGCACCGGTTTCTATCCTAAGTAGTCTGCGCGGAAGCATAAGCATCTCACTCCTGAGTCGGGCCTCATTCGCGGCTCTTGGGCCCACCCTAAAACCTACTTGATCATCTCGTCGAGGGTGGGCTCAGGCACAACTCGCGAAGTGGACCTCTTGCTGCCTTTAATTCGGCAGATGTCCCAAGGGATGGTGGTTGGTCACTGCACTCTCACCCGTCTGGCTATGGACTGCCTGACATCGTGCCTGATGGCTCATTTGACTTTGACAAGGGTTAGAAAAACATAAGTCCGACCACCACGTCAAGTCCACGTTGTAGCGCCAGCAACCGCGTGGCGACGTCCTAGGTAGGGGGCAAAGGATTGTAAAGCTTGAGCTGTTGCAGAGCGGCATGATGCTCATATATAATAGAAAAAAAGCAAATCAATGAACCAGCGCAACGATCAGCAAGCACCACGCACGGGAACACTGGGCTTCAGTCAGTTTCATGAAGCGAAGAGCATGAAAATCAAACAAGTTCAGCAGTTGGAGACTTCTTGTCTGTCTGTGTGTGCCGTCTTTTACCTGTGTGCGCAACGCTTCCAACTGTGTGTGCTGGGGAGAGGAGAGAAGACAGAGCAACGCATTCCGGGACGTGTTTGGGCCAACGCCACCCATATGTGTGTGTGCTACTCCTGACATCGTGTGTCGCTGCAGGAGGCTTGTGCGTTTCTCGAGTGTGTCCTGACCGCTGCCTACTGTCTTTGTTGCTATTAACCGTACGTGTCGTTGGCAGGAGGCCACCCACAGCCGCGCCTTCTCCGGCGTCGGCCGGCCGCTGACGTTCAAAGAGCACGGCCTGCACCGGCGGATGGGGCTCATCTTCTCGGACGGCGACAACTGGCATCAGATGCGACGCTTCTCACTCCGCGCGCTGCGCGACCAGGGCTTCGGCCGCAAGACGCGCACCGACAACATCAACGAAGAGCTGGCCGAAGTCCTGGGTTCGCTGATGGTCGCGGCAAAGGAGGGCCACGAGGTCCAGGTACGCGGCCTCTTTACCCTGGCCGCCACCAACGCGCTCCTCCAGCTGATCATAGGAACCAAGCTGCAGCGGGGCGGGCAGGTGGAACATCTGACCGAGCTCGTCGATCGGAACGTGAACAGCCTCGGCCCAGCCTGCATGCACCTCGAGCTGTTCCCCTGGCTGCGTCACGTGGCGCCTCGCCTCTCCGGGTTCCAGCAGTTCCACGACGACGTCCAGGAGATGGTCGATATCTTCCTGCCGCTGATAGCCGAGCACGCCCAGAGCGTGGTGGATGATCAGCCGCCGCGTGACCTGGTGGAGGCGTTCCTCCAGCAGCAGCGCGAGCAGCGGCCCCCGCATCGTTTCACGAAGGACAACCTGCGCTGCCTGCTCAAGGATCTGCTGATGGCCGGAATGGAGACGGTCAACACCGTCATGGAGTGGGTCATCCTGATACTGGTGTTGCATCCAGACGTGCAGGCACGCGCCGCCGCCGAGGTGGACGAGGTGGTCGGCCATGACCGCACGCCTGCCATCGACGACATGCTGGCCATGCCCTATCTGGAGGCCGTGATCGAGGAGACGATGCGCTGGATGCCCGCCCTGCCTATCGTACAGCATGCCACCACCTTCGGAGCCACGCAGCTCGGCGGCCGCCACGTGCCGGCGAACTGTCGCGTGTTCATCGACCTGAGAAGCGTGCTGCACGACGCGGCGTTCTGGGGAGACCCGGAGTGCTTCCGACCCGAGCGCTTCTTGGCGCCGGACGCGGCGCGCCTCAAGGAGCGGCTGCTCGGCTTCGGGTTCGGCCTGCGCCGCTGCATCGGCGAGACGCACGCGCGCCAGGCGCTGTTCCTGTTCACGGCCGGACTGCTGCAGAGGCTGCGGCTGCAGCTGAGTCCCGGTCAGGCCGACCCCAGCCGGCCGGGGCCCAGCCTGGTGCTCAAGCCGCAGCCGTACCGCATCACCGTCCAGACCAGGGAATGAGCCGCACCGGAGGCGGCAGCGGCGGCAGAGGAGAAGGACATCCCGCCGTCGGAGGAGCGATGCTCTGTGTGATCACGGTATGAGCGACGGTTGTCATGGACTGCCCTTGACCTTGCCAGATGCTGCAGGAGCTCTCTTTTCGCCTAACAATAACACTCGCTTCTCGGGCTGGCACTGCCTCTCGCCGCGCCAATGAGCAGCACAGAGATGAGGCGAAGCCCACAGATAACAACATCGAAAGGACGCATGACTGAACGGCTCACCTTCTGCCGACCCAGTGATGTGAGGCCAAAGAGGGCCCGAATCTCAGCACACCTCATCGTGGCAAACAGAAAAACGTAGCATGCGAGTCTTTATCCTATTTAGTCCATACTCAAATGTGCTTCAATGCCCTTGCGTCTCTGACATGGAATCTGAGCCGCCTATTACCCTTCTCAAAATTGTTTAACCAAAGATGACTGAAGGTGGTGTTGTCGTGGCAAATATTCCGGGTAAATCGTATGTATCCATTTATAAACATAAGCGCGGTGCCTGTGAAACTGGACGACTTTGACGAGCATTTTTATAAAGTTTCTCACAAACATGTTTATCTCGACGAGAATTGTTTTATTTTTCTCCGTGACTAGGCACTGAACTGAGCGAGGACACATTGAAGGCATCGAACTGTTTGGGTGACGGGATTAGGTAAAGCACCGCAATTGGTAAAAAAGCCGACGTTTTCAGTTAAACCATCATCGGTCTGCCCTCAATGATTGTGCTGCCATTATCTAAACCGAGTGCCTCCATAAAAACTCGCTGGTCAAATGGATTGCTTTGTCTTGACCACTACTTTGAGTACTCGCCCAGCCAGCAATTTGCTAGATGAAAGTGGGGGAAGACTACAAATTTTAGACACTTTCAGTGTGCCAAACCGGTTTGAATTTTTTTTAGTGTTTCCAAGCCTCTTCCATCGAGCCCGTATCACCGACTATCGCTTGGGGAAACTTGGAATTTCCAACAGCCTTCCCAACCGTCAGATTTGGGATTTGTTTATGGGAATCATTTTTCAATGCGAAATCTCCTTACGCAGGATCGGGACCGTTCCTTACACCCCGCTTGTGGAAATATTGGAATCCGGTTGGAGCGGGTTGAAAATCCCAACCAACAGCTGATACTTTCGGAGATTATGTGACGCATTTTCCGGAAACCGGAAAGTTGGGGAACGGTTTGAAATTCTGGAAGTCCCGGTTGGAATCATGCCGAAATTGCTGGCTGAGGTAGCACGAAAAACCCAATGTCATACCAATCAGTTCATTTAACACGCAATACCACACCTTTAGATCATTTTCAACCATCCCAAAGGGTTTCATCAACGCATTTATAAGGTGAAGAACCTTTTTCTTATCCAACTCACATCTAACGTGTGAGTTGGATATAAGTATTCTTCCATGCATCATGCCACCCTATTTCACATAACAATAAAGACGATAAAAAACTTTCTGCGTCATTGTCGGCCGTTCAGGTGGTGACAATGCCATTTCCACAATGGCAATGCCAGACCGCAGTGTGGTCTGACACCAGAATCAAAAGACTGCGTCAGAGTGAAATGGCACTTCAAAGAAACACAGACAAGTCACTCTTGAGATGGCCACGGGACAGCCTCTGCCCGGGCCGCTGCCGGTGGCCACGTCACGTGACCGGACCAGCCGGCCGCTGACCTCCGCGGCCGTCCTTCATCGCCAGGCGCGGCGTGGCAGGCGCGTACCCAGCGTCTTTAAATGGGATGGCAGTGGGCAGTGCTGGCGCGGTAACCGAAGAACAGGGACTTCTCGTCGTCCATCCGAACATTCAAAGTCTCAAGCCGAAGACCCTTGGACCCTCCAGCAAACTCAGAACATTCCCGCAGTAGCGAATTTTCATCGGACTTTTCCTTACATCTGAGTGTTGTCTCCAGTGTCTTTTCCTCCGCTTCTCTAATTGACATGTCTGCTGTCGGTGTTTCTGGTCTATCAGCCCGTTGTGGCAGCCGGTCTGGCAATTTAAATCCCCACATGTTTTTACGCGCTTCTATATCTACACCTGAAATGCGTCCCCCGCCCGCCATTGTCCGTTTTCTTGCTTTGCGTCGCATTGACTCGGCCTCTTTTCACTCCGACCTTCTGAGTGCTAACTGATCCAAGGTTCCCTCGTCTGCAACAGTGCCTGAGAAGTGGTAGCACTTTGCACACACTTCACCCAAGTTGTCGACGCGCATGCGCCGTTTTGCCGGACTCTTATCCGCAACCCTGCTACCTCTGTGGCGACGGACACTGCTCGTGACCTGGTGCACCGCCGCCGCCAAGCTCCGCCGCAGCGTGATAACCGCTCTGACACCTACAGGAAGCTCAATCTCGCTGGGCGGTCGGCGCTACGCCGCGACACGCGTGACTGCATATAGCGTTGAATAGCATGCGGTGGTGCATCCTCGGTTTGGCAATCCATCCGCACCATTTTTGGTGGCCGCAGGTCGGGTCGCGTGATCCCGGACGCTACTTCCGATGTTCTGAATGCCTGCTTTGTTAGTGTGGGTCCTTGTATGGCTGGAGGTGATCAGTCCGGGAGCACCTTGCGCCCTTCCGTGTCGCCTGCCTCGTGTCGGTGCCCGCGCTCTGACCTTGTCGCCCCTCTCACTGTCCGAGTTGCGAGCCATGGCTATTGACATGAACAGCTCCCCTGCCAGCGGCGAGGATGACATCTGTCTGCGGGTTGTCCGCCTCCCTTGACGTCATCGGTACGACATTTCTCCACCTAGTCAACTCTGGCATTTCTCTCTCCGAAATCCCCATATCCTGGAAACATTCTTCGGCCCTCTCCATCCCGAAATCTGGCGATCACACCCAAATTTCTAATTACTTCCCCATTCCCCTTTATTTCTGTGATCGCTAAAATCATAGAGCGCGCCGTCCATCAGCAGCTTTGTCAGTATATCTACCCCAACCACCTTCTCTTCTCTTCCCACCACGGTTTCCGCCTCCCCCTTCGCCACTCCATGGAAACCGTTTTGACCACCAGTTCCGACCACGTCCTTTCCGCAAATGACCGGGGTGAAATATCATCGTTCTGGCTCCTATATTTCAGCGAGTGTTTCGATGCAATGACCACCCAAAACTTCTCTACAAACTGCATGTCTGCGGTATCGATACATCCTGGTGTCCAGCCTACCTTCGTAATCACACCCAAAACGTTGGTCTAACTAACCGTTCGGGCACCTCGAAAGTCTCCTCTAAACTTCCAAACAGTATCATGGCACTCCACGGGCCCGCACTGGGCCCTTCCTGTTCAGCGTATTCATGGACGATCTGAGTCTTTTCGCGGAGGACGCTGTGGTGGTCCAGGACGCGGATGATGTTCAGCTTTTGGAACGTAGTCCCAAATCTCAGTTAATTAGCGCTATCGCTCGTTTGGAGCATGTTTTGGCCTCACCTGATTGGTTCAGATTCAACGGCCTTACGATCAATGCCGATAAAGCGCAGGTGATGCTGCTTAGAAGCCAACAAAATCTCCGCATCGTTCTCTTGTTCACTGTCAAATTCCGCGATCACTTTTTGTGATCTCCTGTTTGGAAGCCAACAATATTTGGCTCGTCCTCGTACACAATCTCCGTTGAAATTTACACGTTTCGCACGTCCGTAAGCCCTGTTACGGCATCTCAGCTGGTCAATCACATCTGAGGCACAGCCTGCCCGCCAGTGTCCTGATCATCCTGGTGAACGCCTTGGCTCTGTCGCAGGCTCGTTATTACATGTCAGTATACGGCAGCGGCTCACAGCTCAATATGGCCAGGATTCAGCACGTGCTAGGCTTTGCTGTGAACCTCGTTTCCTGCTGCAAAATATCGGCCATGTGTCGGACCTACATCAAAGGCTCGGCTGGCTCTCCGATGCAGACCTGGGCAGGTACAACACCACATCACTCAACCACAAGATCCTCCATTCGGGCGGGCGTGACTCACTTGCTCGTCTGCCCCGCACTGTGTGTTAATGTTTGCCCCGCACTGTGTGTTAATGTTTGCCCCGCACTGTGTGTTAATGTTTGCCCCGCACTGTGTGTTAATGTTTGCCCCGCACTGTGTGTTAATGTTTGCCCCGCACTGTGTGTTAATGTTTGCCCCGCACGGTCGACCTCACGGGACAGAACAGGGGTCTTTTTTACTTCGTTCGCATACTGAGACAGGAAAACAAACGTTTTACTATTCGCGCATCCAAGATGAATAACGAACTCCAGGACTATCTTCGACTTCTGCAGATTGTCACTTTCTCAAGGCCTTTGAAGAGGCATTTCGTGAGACATCGCAGGTTGTCATGGCCGGTTTGTGCGACGGAGTCGTTGCTGGTGTGCATTTGCATGTGTTTCAGTGCGTTGGTTTGGGGGTGATTATCCTTGTCCTCATTTCCTGTCAGCCGTCCATTTCTGCTGACGATGGGTTGCAATAGTCCGGAGTTGATTCTGGATTGCCCAAATAAACGTCAATCAATCAATCAAATGGATGCGTGATTTGGTACCGGCTATACCATCTTACGCTAAAGCGAAACGGCTCTGAAAATGGAGCGTCGCATCTGCACCGCCCAAATGACACCCATTTACAATCCATTGATCGCAGCGGACAAACAGCTTCACTTATTGTACCTAACTCCAACAAAAGTAGTCGCGCTCTTTTTGTAACATTTTGTCGACCGGAGACAATAATTGCCAGGACTATTGCCCTCGTCTGGTGTGTTAGAACGTACACAGCGCTTCAGCCCCCTCGGTTAGCTCAACTGGTAAGTTACCGAACTTGCAACTGGTGACCTGCGTCGAGCCCCAGCACTGGCGAGGAGAGAATTCGGGCTGTGACGCATGCATGACTGGGAGACAGACTCATCCAGTCTTCCTCAGGACTGCATAACACGTGGCGTTGGCCTAGGAAGATGACGTAAGCGTCGTGTCCAACTGCGGCAACATTAAAACGCCCTCACGCTCTAGTCGTGTACAACTGCGGCAACATTAAACCCCCCCCACGCTCTAGTCGTGTACAACTGCGGCAACATTAAAACCCCCCCACGCTCTAGTCGTGTCCAACTGCGGCAACATTAAAACCCCCTCACGCTCTAGTCGTGTACAACTGCGGCAACATTAAAACCCCCTCACGCTCGAGTCGTGTACAACTGCGGCAACATTAAAACCCCCCCACGCTCTAGTCGTGTACAACTGCGGCAACATTAAAACCCCTCACGCTCTAGTGCGCTTTTCTTCTCGGAGGTTGCTGTTGCTTGCAGAACTTTAAACTGTAACGCACAATGAAGTTGCTGTTCGCAACATTTCTGATCGGGGATGTCTTCGGCAGCAGACACGTCAGACGGATGGAATGATTAATGGTCGGCCCATTCGTTCGATGGTGCAGTAATGAGGCTTGACGGGCACCGAAGCGAGCTGAAGGGACGAGGCTGTTGAGAAGATCTGAGGCTGACGCTGACGCTGCGGTCGGTTGTGTTTGCGTGTCGGGCGAGTGAATGTTAGCATCCATCACCATTTATCCCCCCCCCCCCCCCATTTAGCAAGTCATAAGAAGTAAAACCAAATAATCAGTTCAAGATTTCTTCTATGCTCAGCTTTTGATCCGATAGATTTTTGGGATCAGTGCCCGCGCTAAGTGATGCTAGTGGCGTGAGCGACGCCAACACGCGACCATGCGACGCTGCCATGCGATCGTGGAACTCCGTGTCTACGGTAGAATTTTACCACGAAAGCTTAATGTGCCACAACCTTGCACAGCCAGCCCTATTCTGAGGGTAGAACTCTCTGACACCACCTGAACTTTACCGCACCCTTTGCTACGGGGCACAATCCATGCCAACCAGGACCAAGAAATGATTGCGCAAAGCGCCTGGAACCATACTCGCCACCAGCGTGTTATTTGGAATGTAGGCGCTCGAACAAAGTGAGCTATTGGGACGAAAAATAGCATGGAAGGGAATATCAGTAATTTCTGCTGGCAAGCTTATGGGAAAACATTTGCGCTTCTGGTTTGACGAAGTGACATGTTTGGAATTAGGAACGTGACAGCATATCGAAATAAGGTTCATCCATTCTATGTTTAGAACTGTGTTTAACTTCCATCTGGGTGGTTCCAGACCACGGCACCAGGATCCGTAAATGCATAGCTTTTTTGATTTTTCACACTCAGTATCAATAAAATTCTACACTGGCACAGCCAGCCGTGTACTTCAGTTGCCTGGAGACCAATATTCATATACATCTCGCGTTGTACACTTCTGATTACGTTTGTGATGTTTTCTTTGCCTTAAATTTGGCCACGTGGTTCTGACCGAGGCGTCGCTCCTCGCCAAACTCCACCCAATATATCCCAAAATATCAGTGTGGCGATCTTACCGTTCTTCCTGATGGAAGTTATACGCAGCTATCAACATAGAAATTAGTAATATGCTTCGTCGCTATTCATTCTAAATATGTCGCTTTTGTTATTTCTGCGTTGCCAATGTTCTTTTCCCCAAATGCTAAAGCTTGTCCGCGAAAAAACAACTGACATTTCCTTCCCTTCTGTAGTCAGAGCCACTAGTTCAGCCTGTTAGAGCGTCTTCATTCCGATATAGCTACCGTTGGCGATAAGGGTTCGGCTCGCTTTATACGCTCATTGTTTGTCCATGGCTGGTACGGGCTGCGGCCGGTAAAACTTGATCAATTATGAAAAGCAGGCATTCCAATGCGTTTACAAAGCCTGGAGGCACCGGTCACTTAAGTATATTTGACGCTGACACTGAGGGGTCATGCGCATATACGAAAATGGGGATGTGACGTATAAAGCGGGCCCTCTGACCACCGGCACCCTGCTGCCCGGGGCAGTCTGACGTCAGTCGGCTCCGGGGAGGGCTGGAGCGGGCCCTCTGACCACCGGCACCCTGCTGCCCGGGGCAGACTGACGTCAGTCGGCTCCGGGGAGGGCTGGAGCGGGCCCATTGACTGCCGGCGCCCTGCTGCCCAGGGCAGTCTGACGTCAGTCGGCTCCGGGGAGGGCTGGGGCGGGCCCTCTGACCACCGGCACCCTGCTGCCCGGGACAGACTTACGTCTTACGTCTAGGCTTACATCTCACGTCCAGGCTTACGTCTTACGTCTAGGCTTACGTCTTCCGTCAACGCAGTCTTATGTCAGTCGGCTCCGGTGGGGGCTGGAACGAGGAGCTCCGTATTTGAACTGTGGTTGGGATGTGTCTGCGATGCCGCCTGCACAGCCTTAGTGTTCACCTTTATCACCTCAATTTTTTACATTATCCACGTCGTTTGATATTCCGCGCCTCTGCGTCGTTTGATATTCCACGCCTCTGTCGTCGTTTGATATATCGCATTTGTCATCCCCCGCCACGCAATGTTTCTCGCTAATTTCGGGTGTGATCGATGGGTGTGGTGAACGGCAAACTGACAATATACATATTCCACAAATACTATTGGCTGAATATAATGCCTGTACTTTTTGGGGTATCCAAGGTGGTGGGCGAAACCACCCGAGTTCATGGTCTTCCGCGAAGTTTTTGGCTGAGTGCACCGCTTGGATGAGATGTCATGAACAACGAGAGAAACGCCACCATTCAAACAATTTTTCTGTTGAACCAAATCATGATTTCACTGGGTAATTGTTTTCTTATTTTTATCCGACTTTTTATCGATGATACCATGAGGGTTCATATTTATGTCCGGGAAGTTGATGTTGGTGTTAATGTGCTACGTTCTGTGTTGTTTGTGCTGTAGTATCCGTGTTCTTGTCACGTTCAGTTGTTCGCTTCATACTCTGGCTGCGGAGCGCTGAATTGTGCAGCCGCGCTGCAGAGAGCTGATGTGATCCAGCTCTCAGTATCTCTCTGCTAACTACAAACACCAGCCACAGCATAGTGTGAGAACTATCTCCAACATGAACCCCATGAAATCTGTCAGCAATGTACCGAAGTGGGGAGCCTCCACGAGCCCCGTTGGTAGACCACATAGACATGCGTTTCAAATGCCTGGGGCCGATGCCATGTTGTGAGGTCTATATTTCCCTGTTACACTTACAATATCGCCTGTTGGCAACGCGTCTACATAATGCGGTCATTCACAGCCAGAGTATGGACGTAAAACGACACGAAGGCAACCCATGTTTTCGTCCGTCGGGGTCCTGTTGGCGGCGCGGCAGCTGTCGAGGCCGGTCCGCCCGGGGTGGCCGATGGTGTCTGTTCACCGGTCCGCCCGGGGTGGCCGATGGTGTCTGTCCACCGGTCCGCCCGGGGTGGCCGATGGTGTCTGTCCACCGGTCCGCCCGGGGTGGCCGATGGTGTCTGTTCACCGGTCCGCCTGGGGTGGCCGATGGTGCGTCCACCGGTCCGTCCGGGGTGGCCGATGGTGCCAGTCCACCTTTCCGCCTGGGGTGGCCGATGGTGTCTGTCCACCCTTCCGCCTGGGGTGGCCAATGGTGCCTGTCCACCGATCCGTCTAGCGTGGCCGATGGTGTCTGTCCACCGGTCCGCCCGAGGTGGCCGATGGTGCCTGTCCACCGGTCCGCCTGGGTTGACCGATGGTGCCTCTGCAGCGCTCATTCGGCTCCTCCGCGGCTTCCTCCGCTGACTTCACGCCGGCACAGAAGGCTCGACGCTGCACAACCAAATGGTGGCGAAGACGGCCGTTCGCTGGTCTGCCGGACTGATGAAAACCATGCACCTTCCACGCGCTGGTCGGTCGGAACGTTTCGACAGGATGGGGTGTAACAGTGTTAAGTGATACCGTCCTTGCATGACGCGAACAAGAGTGAAATTATCTTTTTAGTCATTTCATGCGGTTGCCCATTTTTTAACAGCCGGCTCTCCCTTGAGGTATCGCATGCAAATCCAACTGGTGTGTTCATGGACTGACACTGATAGAAGTCAAACCCCAATGAACGTCATGAGAAAAAAATGATACCCAGTATCATACTTCAACGACTGTTACCTAAATCCCCATGTTCTGGGAATCAAAAGCCACCGCCAATACGAGAGGCACATATTCGATGTAACGTAATCCAACATACAACTGACATTAAAACCTACAACACTGTGAGGATGAATTCATTTGCCAACTGATGAGGCGTAACTACGTTTTCGTGCCACGCAAAGTCAAATGACGCGTCCTCGGAATAACGCCGATTGCAATCGGGCTACACTGAGAACCGGCATTAAAGGACACAAATTATCCCTGGCGTCCAGTTTCAACAATTGAACGGTTCCCAGTTTGAAAAGGTCAAAAATGTCAACGTAGGTCATAAACCTTCAATGACGTTATAAATGTGTATAATTTGTGAAAGGTCAGAAGAGTGTAGGCATTCCGCTCAGGTTGTCTTGTATGTTTATCGAGGGAGCGTAACCCTACGAAACTCTGGCATACGAACATTTGTTCTAGAATCGTACGCCAGGCGCACACACATCCCGTCAGGAACAATGTTTATTACGCTAAAAAACGAAAGGCATGCGGGGAAGGCAGCACATGTACCATTACAGGCTGAAGAAACAAGCCGTATCACAGCGTGATTACGACCAGAGATAACTATCTGGCCAGTGAAGGAGGAATGTTTAGAGATCGACAGGTAACGGGGGTGGACAATCATGGGATGTACCAGAGAGAAGGTAGGAGTGGGATGGGATGGGGCGTAACGAGACACGGAGGTGGGAAGGCGAGAAACCAGCGAAACGGTTCGCGGAAGGGTGGACGCGAAACATGAAAATGAATAGGGCTGAGTCTCACCTGTTTTGTCGTCTACTGGTCAGCGGGACGATAAATATGCCTCGCAATAACAGCTTTTCAACTCACTGAGCCACGAAGAAACCCAATATTGATGATGTTGCGCTTTGTCCTCTGCCACAAAGCTATCAACTAAAAAACCGCTGTAGTAAAAGAGCCTCTACCACGTGCTCGCCTCCCTTTAAGGTCAGGCTAAGGGCGATATTTTACAGAATTATCACATCATTAATACTAGACTTTGACAACGAGGAAGACACCAAAATGAACCGGGGAAACACTCTATAATTCCCATGCGTTTAGCTCCGGATCATTTTCCGCACGTCCAATCCTTTAAGACAGCGAGAGGAAGATGACAGACAACGCGGAAAGAAATGGGGAGATTGAAAGGAGTTGCACATAAAGAGGGAGACGGAGGCACAGCATCGACCCTTTCCAGAGTCAGACAAGGCTCCGCTGCCCCCTGCTTTGACCATTTGGCAGCACGAGGACAGCAGGTCGTGTTTGAACACGGGTGGTGCGGCGCGCGACAGGGCCCGCCGGAGCGGGCCGGCAGCCGCCCAGCTGCGCCTCCCAGAACATCGGCACGCGGCTCACGACTCGGTGGGTGGGGCAGCGCGCGACAGGGCCCGCCGGAGCGAGCAGGCAGCCGCCCAGCTGCGCCTCCCAGAACATCGGCGCGCGGCTCAGGACTCAGCGGGTGGGGCAGCGCGCGACAGGGCCCGCCGGAGCGGGCCGGCAGCCGCCCAGCTGCGCCTCCCAGAACATCGGCACGCGGCTCAGGGCTCGGTGGGTGGGGCAGCGCGTGACGTCTCGCAGCCTGGCGCCCTCTACGCCCTGAGGTCGGACCGCACGAGGGCAACGACTCTGCGGATTTCGCCCCTGCTTCCGCTGCGTCTGCCGGGAGCCGCCGCTGGAGCCGCATCAGCGGGACGACCTGGCCGCGCCGCCATCAGGCGTCGCCTCGGTGCCGGGCCGACGCGACTGGTGCCGCGCGCCAGGCACGGGCCGGTGGCTCACGTGTCGCCGAACAAGTCGGCCAGCGATACGACGTCGGGCTGGGGCAGCCGTGGTGGCCGCGTCTCTCGACCCATCGGCACCAGGTCACGGATCGAGGCCTTCTTCTGGAACAGCTGGCTCATGCTGCGACTGACCAGCTGACGGACAGAGGCAGCGGAGAGCAGCCGGTCATGTCCCGCCACAGCTGGCACGGCGCACGAGGCGGCACCGTCAACAGCGACACAAGCAAGGCAGCGTGACGCCGAACGCCGTGGCACCACGCATTGGGGACGGGGAGGGAAGACAAGGTGCGTCGATCACAACGGTCATTTTGTGACACCACCACCAAGAATTACACGCGAAACAGTTCGCCCCCGCAGCATGAACGCAACAACAAACAGACGCTTTAGAACAACAGCTCATGACTACCACAGCGCCGTTGTAAAAATAAGCCGGGCGCCAAAATCGTCCCCAAAAGTCGCTACAAAAATTGCTCGACTTGTCGCCAGTCTTACCCGTACATCCGCCCATACTTACCGGCTTGATTAGCCTCCTGATCTCTTCTTTCTTGAGTTTATCACTTTTTGAGATCTTCGGGATGTTGAAAACCTTCTCTTGTAGCTTTTCAACCATTTCGGCGTTCACCTCTGGTATTTGGCTAATCACCTGAAAGCACGATACGCCGTTCACCGTCAAGCATTCAGCCATCAGTCGTGAAGAGCGACACTAGCAGAAGACCACCATCTAGCCCTACAACAAACAGTGCCACATCGTAACGCCTCCTTCGCTAGCAGTGGGCTCCAAACAAGAGCGGCCGCCGCTGGTTGCGGCACCCTCCGACGCGCCGCTGCAGGCGTCCCGCCGGCGCACCAGAGCCGGGCGAGGCAGAGTCGCCGCTCCCATGCGAGAGTGGCCGCCGTGGACCGCCGTCGCCGGGCCGAGAGACACCGCTGGCGAGCAATCCATCCCGCTTCCATCTGGCCGCCCGGGAAAGGCAGAGGGCCGATTTGGCTACTCGGGCAACCTCCAAGCCGACGATTGCGGAGGCGGGGCCACATGGTTTGGGCCGACGCACTTGTGGTATTGCTTGTATATTATGAAAATGTAGTATCGCGACATACACCGTTATACATGCGTGTATGTATGTATGTATGCGTGTATGAATGAATGAATGAATGAATGAATGAATGAATGCATGAATGTATGTATGTATGTGTGTATGTATGCATTATGTATGTATGTATGTATGTATGTATGTATGTATGTATGTATGTACGTGTGTATGTATTTATTATGTATGTATGTACGCATGTATGCATTATGTATGGATGTATGGATGGATGGATGGATGGATAAAGGTACGCATGCGTTTATGTATGTACGTATGTATGTATATATGTATGCATGTATGCATTATGTATGTATGCATGGATGGATGGATGGATGGATGGATAAATGCACGCATGCTTTATGTACGCATGTATGGTACGCTTCTGGTCGTGAGAAGACGCTGATTACCCACATTATTCGGACCGTGTCGTTGATCTCCGACACGCTTAGCACTAGTCATCACGGATCGCTTCTATTGCCTTCCATCCGCATGATCTCGGTACCGTTGTGCTTTGATATAGATACTCTTCATCAACACAAATGCTTGCTTCTTTCTTTTTTGCTTACGAGTCCCATAATGGTACGTACTTCATAAGAACTCTTCTAATGTTCAGGAACGCGTCGTCGCGTGCGTTTGGACGACCGTGCGGCGGGTTGCTCGGCATCAACTGCATGCGCTGTCAAAAGGAGACAGGCTCCTCTTGCCCAGCCCGGCTGCACTTGGAGAAGCGGAGAGGTACGGCTCGGTGCCGCGCGGCAAACCGGTCCGGTATGAGGTGGGCTCATAAAGAGGTGTGTAACAGGGCCTGGGACGCTCGCGCCGGGGACACAACAGTGACCCCGCACGACGTGGCCATGTCCGACGAGCCTGACCTGCAGCCTCCGGCGTCGTGAGAGGGCCGGCCCCGCGGGTCCAATTCCTGTTCCCCCGAGGACCTCCCCCACCACTAGTCAAGCAATCCGATCCTCCTCGCATCCTCGCTGCATGTCTCATCGAGATGAGCGTGTCCCCGTGTGTCCGAATGTCTCCATAGTCCAGACGTCAAGTTGGCTACTTGGTTGCACACTTCTCCCAGACCCTGCTAAAATCATGACTGAAATGCGTATGGAAAACTCGTCTATGGAGAGGGGGATAAGACGTCAATAAGGCACGACACTTGGTCTCCAAGATCGGCGGACGGCGCCAGCGATGCGGTGTGCCCCGCACCCCGCCACCGTCTCGGCGTACCTGGTCCACGGCGGAGGCGTGGCCCGGCCGCAAGCACACGTAGGCGGCCGTGATGGCCGACACCAGGCTGGTGAGGTTGGCCTGGTGGTGTCCCTGTACCTCCAGACCGTGCAGCAGCCAGTACAGCAGCTGGCTGAAACCCACACCCGCGGCGTCGTCAGCACGGCTCCCTGACGGTGCGCAGAATGGTCGGCCGGCTGAGACCGCGGACCGGCGGGTCTGGCACGTGACGCCGTGACGCCTCCACGATCGGCGTCGGCTGACAAGATCCGCACGAGTGCACCTCACAGCCGATCCGGGCTAGACAAGCCGCCGTCGGTCACACACCTCCCGCCGACTCAATGGGGCTTAGCAGCACAGGTTGGTGGCTACCACCCAGCACCGCCCGTGCCACCCGTAGACACTGGGCCGCACCATCTCCGCCGCCTGCAGGCGCCGCCGGGCTCCACCTGCACGGTCTAAGCCAATGACTAACCTGGCGGCGCCATCGTCCACCAGCTGGGCCTCCACCAGAGCGCGCACCACCAGCGGCGACAGCTCCGTGGCCTTCAGCGCGGCCACCGAGTCGCCCCAGCCGATCGCCCTGGTCGACAGACCAGCCAGTCTGGTCAGACACTACCGAGCGGCTCGGCGCAGCGCCGCAGGAACGGGCCGGCGCCGGGTACCGGCTCAGTCTAACGCTACGGCATTTGGGTCCTGTGATTTACACCTATTGTGACATTCAGATAGCTCGTCACGGCGAAGAGTGCATGGCATGACTGGCAAAATAGGAATGCCCAGTCCGTTAGTAATATTGTATGGAAGGTAAAGTAGGTAATGATACGTAAATATGAGCCTGTCAGGAGCGGCACGAAGCCCTCATTCCACTGGCTTTGTTCTCATGAAGCGCCAAAAATCAGCCAAATAGCAAAATAAACGCTTACTCAACTTCACATGATCATGATGACATATTGTGAATACAACACTGGACACAAACACGGAAGACCAAGGTTCCTAATGTCAGCTGCAGAACGCTCGACTCAAACCACGACGATGACGCGGACAGCTGTTCATCCTTTTCGCTCCGTGTTCGCGACAGCCGGGCCGGGGCTCACCTGAAGACGATGGTGAGCAGCGGCCGGGCCAGACTGGGGTTGCGCAGTGCCGCCAGACCCTGCGCCGTCACAGCCGTCTTGGTTGGCTGCTGCACCGCCGGCAGCACGCCCTCCTCCATGGCGTCGTCTTCGACGGCCGACGCGACGCCGGCGGCCGAGGTCAGCAGGACGGCAGCCAGCTGCGCCGTCTCCCGAGTCAGCTGGCGCAGCAGCTGCTCAGCCACCACCGCCTGACGGGGCAGACATCACACAGGGTCAGCTGGCGCAGCAGCTGCTCAGCCACCACCGCCTGACGGGGCAGACATCACACAGGGTCAGCTGGCGCAGCAGCTGCTCAGCCACCACCGCCTGACGGGGCAGACATCACACAGGGTCAGCTGGCGCAGCAGCTGCTCAGTCGCCACCGCCTGACGGGGCAGACATCACACAGGGTCAGCTGGCGCAGCAGCTGCTCAGCCACCACCGCCTGACGGGGCAGACATCACACGGGGTCAGCTGATGGGCCAGCTGCTCAGCCACCACCGCCTGACGGGGCAGACATCACACAGGGTCACCTGGCGCAGCAGCTGCTCAGTCGCCACCGCCTGACGGGGCAGACATCACACAGGGTCAGCTGATGGGCCAGCTGCTCAGCCACCACCGCCTGACGGGGCAGACATCACACAGGGTCAGCTGGCGCAGCAGCTGCTCAGTCGCCACCGCCTGACGGGGCAGACATCACACAGGGTCAGCTGGCGCAGCAGCTGCTCAGCCGCCACCGCCTGACGGGGCAGACATTATACGTAGTCAGCTGACGGGACAGCTGCTCAGCCACCACCGCCTGACGGGGCAGACATCACACAGGGTCAGCTGGCGCAGCAGCTGCTCAGCCGCCACCGCCTGACGGGGCAGACACGGGGTCAGCTGACGGGCTAGCCCTCTTCTTCGCCTCATGTATCAGTTTCCAGGATTTCGTCTGACATTTCGATACGACCACACGCTTTAGTAGTGTACACCAGATGTGTCATGATGTTTTAGCCAGATACGAGCGTCTGTATCATAATCAAGAGCGAAGGGGGTTCACATCCATTGCCACTGTTGTCAATGGATTGCGCATGCGTGTTGCCGCAGTTGTGCACCAAGGCTATCGTAGACGCATGCTGTTATCGATCCGTTTGTCACCTGCGGTTCACCGTGTCATGACATATTTCAAACACACATCGACTGGGGCACTCGGTAACCTGTAAGGCCAATGCGCACACACGTTGTCCCTCAGAGCTTTTCATTTGTAATATCGTATCACAACTGTATTCGACAAGTATGATGCGCGGCAGGTGGCAGCGGCCGCAGTGAAAGTCAGGTGGCGTCAGAGGACAGGATGGATCGTGCCGAGCATTGCAGCACGTGAAACTTTCGCCGCCAACTATACCCCTAACCCGGAATTTGACAATCGGATGATAAAGAGCAGGGCTCACGCATGTACTTCTTAGCGTGAGCTTTGATCCCAGAAATCCTTTTATTCAAAAAGCTCTGGACTAAAGCTTTGAGAAGTCCCAAGCGGCCAATTGGCGACATCTAGCGGGTGGCCACACACCTGTATCACTGCCAGCGGCTGACGTGGCGCGCCGCTCACCTCTGTGTCTTCGCCGTCGTTCCACTCGCTGTCCGCCTACGTGGTACGCCGCTCACCTGTGTCCTCGTCGCCGTCCCGTTCGCTGTCCGCCTACGTGGTACGCCGCTCACCTCTGTGTCCTCGTCGCCGTCCCGTTCGCTGTCCATCTGCGTGGTGCGCCGCTCACCTCTGTGTCCTCGTCGCCGTCCCGTTCGCTGTACGCCTGCGCGGTACGCCACTGACCTCTGTGTCTTCGTCGTCGTCCCGCTCACTCTCCGTCTGCGCGTCAAGCTCGAGCCGCTGCAGCTGTGTCCAGCGCACGTCCAGCCGCTCTGCCAGGTGGGTCATCAGCGAGGCCAGCAGCGGGTGCAGCAGCGGGCCGTGCAGCTCCGCCGGACACCGGCCGATCAGGGCCCGCCAGAGGCCGCGCAGCTGCCAGAACAGGGGCGCAGGGTCAGCAGGGGACACCGGCCGATCAGGGGCATTCAAAGGTCGCGCAGCTGCCTGAACAGGGGCGCAAGGTCAGCAGGGGACACCGCCGGATCAGGGACAGTCAAAGGCCGTGCGGCCGCCCGGACAGGGGCGCAGGGTCAGCAGGGAACACCACCGGATCAGGGTCCGCCAGAGGTCGCACAGCTGCCCGAGCAGGGGGGGGGGCATGATCGGTAGGGAACACCGCTGGATCACGAGCGGCCAAAGATGGGAGATCTACCGGGTAGCAAGGAAGGGTCAGCAGCGATGAGGGACAAGATCATGCTTGAAAACCAGGTACAAAGCAAAAGCCCTATCTAAATAAGATCGACAGCCCCGAACACGATGCATGGTATAGTTGGATTGGAATGGCAACTCGGAAACGCATCTTCTAAACTGAGGTTCAACAAAAACACAGCGCACTAACCATCAGCATAGCTCAATAAACCCATGTGCTCATCACCGAGATGAAAACCTGCATTCGCATAGAGATATTGCAGGCATCTACAGCCCAAAAACACATATTGGTCAGGTTCAGGCTTTTCCCAAAGACACGCACGAATAGAAGCTTGTTAACTTTTCTGCATCATCACGTGCCATGCACATCGAAAGCAGTTCTTGTAGGTTCCGTTTTCTCGTTTAGAAAAAGTGATGTAGCTAGGTGGTTTGGGATTAAATGTTAATGTTCGGACCCGTTTGAATGGAATGCCCCACCTTTGGGGCATACTTCCAAAACATATTCTACTAAAACCTCGGGACTATTCGCGTCTAATGATAGCACTGGGTGGTGCTACTACGGCACGGTAACACAACATAGGGCTAGCAATGTTTATCATTTTCTAGTCCAAGTTACGCTAACAACGCTTTGTAGCAGAACTGCACTTCTTCCCTGCAGTCACGGCCACAGTTGTCATGACAAACACCGTGGCACCTCTACTGGTGCAAATAAACGAACGTTTGTGACTGGCCTAGCGGGCGGCATGGGCCTGTCACCGAGAAGCGTATTGGTTGAAGTGTGAAGCAGTGCGTCACCATGTACCACGTGATACTCCCGTTCCCTAAGCCAAACGCGTTTCGAAGAGAGTCGCCTTGTTTAAAAACCACAGGACAGAAATCAAAGCCATCGTACAAGGTTTCGTTGAAAGCGAGGGATAAAAGCGTCTGGTTCGTTTTGTTTTGTTTTGTTTTCCTGTTTTTTTTTTTTTGGGGGGGGGGGGGTTAAACAGAGTGCTTCAAGCTTTTGCAGCATTTATCACGCAAACGTTTAGACAAATTACTGGTTGCAGAGGGTACCTGTGACAGCCTGCAAAACAGCAACCCGGAAGAGGCCTACCATTTTAACACTAACAATAAAACGTCCCATTAGCGTAAAACACGTAACAAAAAATCCTAAGAGTAAATATCTTTGAAACACTATTTATGGCTCTTAGTGGACTCAACCGAACGACCGATCTTACGCTGCAAGCATCACACCTCTGCCTGCTAGCCCAGCCCATTTACGACGCTCCTGCCCGTCACATCAACCTGTCCAACCCTTCCCATCCCCGGTCCTAGTGGCAAACTGGTCGACGCGGTCGCCGGCTCTCACCTGCACGCGCGTCCGATGGTCGGAGAGGTGTTCAAGACTGTGCAGCACGCTGCCCGTGATAAAGTCGCCGGCTCTCACCTGCACGCGCGTCCGATGGTCGGAGAGGTGTTCAAGACTGTGCAGCACGCTGCCCGTGATAAAGTCGCCGGCTCTCACCTGCACGCGCATCCGATGGTCGGAGAGGTGTTCAAGGTTGTGCAGCACACTGCCCGTGATAAAGTCGCCGGCTCTTACCTGCACGCGCATCCGATGGTCGGAGAGGTGTTCGAGGTTGTGCAGCACGCTGCCCGTGATAAAGTCGCCGAGCCGTGGCAACGTGAACAACTGGTGGCCGAGCGCCGTGCACGCGTTCACCAGCAGCGTGTGTGCCATCTCGTACAGGTGGCTGATGAAGCCCTGCATGCGCTCAAGCGGCGGCCGGCGTCCGTCGCTGGCGTCCGCCGTCCGCTCGGATGACGCCGACAGCAGCGCCAGCCGCCGCGCCGCCGACAGCTCCAGCGCCGCCGCCAGCGCCGGGTGCAGGCGCGCGCGCAGCTCGGGCGCGTCCAGCGCCGCCAGCGAGCGCAGCAGCTGGAAGACGAGCGGCAGCTGCGGCAGCACGTGCGGCGCGCACGGGCTGCGCGGCGCGCCCGACGCCGGGTCCAGGAAGCCGCCGTCGCGCAGCCGGTCGGGGTCGTCGGGCAGCCGGCAGCGCAGCAGCAGACCGCTCAGCAGGTTGACCAGCAGCGTCAGCTGGGAGCGCGTGCGGTGCCGCTCGGCGTCGGCGGCCGTCTCGGCGACCGGCGGCGACGGCGGCGGCGGCGCGTCCAGTCCCACCGCCGACATCAGGGCGCCCGGGCTCCGACACAGAGCCGACAGCTGCTTCCACGTATCCAGGTGCGGCGCCAGCAGCCGGCCCACCAGCTCCTGCTGCTGGTGGTAGTCACCGAGCCGGGCGTGTACCAACACCAGCAGCTCGGCCAGCGTGACGCCTTCCTGCGCACCCAGACGACCCGGCTCGGCCAGCAGCGCCTGCACACGAGCCACCAGCGCCGGCCACTGGGCGGCCAGCGCCGCCGGCTGCCGCGTAGCCAGCGACAGGAGCGCGTTGCAGCCGTGCCGGCGCAGCTCGCGCGAGGCGGCGTCGGCCTGCTGCGGCGCCGGCGGCTCGAACGTCACCGCCTCGAACAGGCGCTCCAGCAGCGGCGCGGTCAGCTGCGGCCGGCGCGGCAGCAGCACGGACAGCGTCGAGAGCAGCGAGACGAGCAGCGACAGCACCTCCGGGTCGGCGGTGCGCCGCTGCAGGCAGACGACGAACAGCGCCGCCGCACGCTCCGTCTGCTCGGGTAACAACGCGGCGCGCGGCGCCACTTGCTCCGTCAGGTAGACGGCCGTCTCCCAGTCGCGCAGCGGCGCCGACTGTCGGTCCAGTCGGCCGCCGGCGTCCGTCGGCAGCGGCGCCGCCACCAGCGCCGTCACCGCCTCTGCCAGCTGCTGGAACGTCTGGTCCGGTGCGGCGGCGGCCAGCGCGCGCAGCGCCTCGGTCAGCTCGGGTCGCGCGCGGCCGGCCGACGCCGCCTCGTCGTCGGCGCCCAGCTCGAGCTGGCGCCAGGCGTCGGCGGCCGGGTCAACCGGTCGACGCGCGCGCCGCTGCAGGCACTGGAACAGCGCCGGTGCTGCAGCCAACAGCGGCGCCGACCGGCCGGCCTGCGCGTGACGCAGCAGCTGCGTCCAGGCGGGCAGCAGCAGGTCGGCCACGGCCCAGCTGGGGTGCCGGCTGAGCCGCAGCAGCAGCTGCAGGAAGGCGGCCAGCCCGTCCGGCTCGCCGGCCGTCAGCTCAGGCCGACCCCAGCAGTAGGTCAGCTGCGACACGGCGCCCGCCAGCGCCTGGGCCAGCAGGCGCAGCGTGGCCAGCAGGGCGTCAGACGGCGGCTGGTCGCAGCACCAGGCCACCTGCTCGTCCAGCAGCGCCACCACGCTGGGCCGGAACACAACCAGCAGCGGCTCGCGGTCCTCGGCCCGACCGTGCCGGCTGAACAGCTGGAACGGGCGCGGGCGGCGCGTCAGAGCAGGCCACGCGGGCCGACCGCGCGGCGCGGCAGCGGCGCACCGTGGACGAGCTAAATATCGGCAGCGAGGACCTAAATATCGAGGAGCTAAATACCGCCACGCTCACTCGCTCACACCCGCTAGGGTGTACACATGCCTTTTGGGCGAAGTATAGCATTTCTTCGAAGAGCTCTCAATCGAGCACATATGTAACCAACGCACACCCACCAGGAATGGTACCAAAATAATTAAAATCGTCCGACGTATACCAAATATTAACGGCATACACACAACAAAGACCTGCCCGAACACACTTTCTCATTACAATCGCCACCCCTGAGGGCGCATCAGCAGTCCGGGCCACTCCTGCAGCGCTGAGGCCACCGAAGGGTGACCACCCACCAGTGTTGACGTCCCCTCTTCCCTGCCAGGGTCCACACCAAAGATGAGCTGGCGTTGGGCACCAGCTCGACCCTCCACATCCACAGACAATGGACACTCACCACAGTCAGGCACTCGGCAGCCGTCTGCTGCAGGCGGGGCCGGCGCAGCAGCGGCAGCAGCAGCAGCAGCAGCGCGTCACCCATCACGTGCTGCACGGCCGCCCACTCCAGGTAGCAGGCGAGCGTGGCGAGGCAGACCTGGGCCAGCGCCTCGTCCCCGCCGTCGGGTGCGGCCGCGCACGAGGTCAGCGTGCCCGTCAGCAGGCCGAACACGGCGTCCATGCTGGCCACCAGGCCGCGGTAGATGTCGCGCCGCCGCGTCGGCGCCTCCAGCGTCTGCGGCGGGCCGCAGCGGGGCGGTCATGCGTTGCCTGGCGGGAGCACGGCTCTAACATCTCGGGAGATAGCCTGCTTGTCGCCTCCACGACCCACCCGATCGCTGGACGGCTGGGGTCTGCCGAGACACGGCCCAACAAGTCGGCGTGGTCACACGAGCGCCACGTGCCAGGCCCCGCCTCCTCACGAGCTGGACAGACGGTCCGAGCACGCCCGCGCCGTCGCCGCCGGTCGGCCGGTGTGCCACCTCACCTGGAACGTGGCCACGTCCTCGGCCAGGCGCAGGAAGACGCGCAGCACGAGCTCGGTGTGAAGCGGGCCGCGCGCCGCCAGCCGGCTCATGTCCGGCACAAACTCGGCGTACTGCTGCGGCCACTCGCGCTTCACCATCTCCACCAGCGGCCGGCAGAGGGCGTCGCGCATGTGGGCCGGCGCCGCGGCCGTCACAGACGTCATCAGCTGCAGGCAGTAGTCCTGCCGACGCAGCCGGCACGTCAGCGGACAGCAGGATCCGACAGACGCCGGCGAACGCCACGCTGGTGTGAATGACGTCACTGCGATGCAGAGCACGGGCGGACTAGTGCCGTAAACACCTGGCCACCCTGTTTGGTGGGAGGCGAGCGAGTTCAGAACGGGCTTTAGCGCGAGGATGTAGGATATCAGAACTTATAGAAGCGCGCCCGTGTGCCCATTAGTGCCCAACAAAAGCATCTCATGACACCGTCGGTGACTGGCCAGGTTCGCCCACTGTGAGCGTTAACCACGCATACAGGCTCACTAACTTATCGTTTAAAAGTTTCAGTAGTATTTATCCGGAAAGTCGGCAACTTAAAGTGAGTTATCTTTCCTGCTAAACATCTGGTACTTGTATACCATGTGTGACTGCACTTCTTTTTAATACGCATGCCTCTTAAAAACAGATTCCATCGCATGAATTGCCTGTTCAGGGGCCGTGGGAATCACAATTATCGTTAGATGTAGATTCTGACATTAAAATCGACTCCGGCACCAAACAGCACGGCCATAATTATGGGAAAGCTACCGCCCGTCTGTTGCCCGCATTATACTGAACAGTGCAGTGTGCCACGCAGTCAGGACCCGCCAAACACGTCAGTGTTTCCCCTCGCGGCCGTGAATGTCACCGCCTTAGCTGGGATTGGGTGTCAATCGAACGCACGCGGTCATGGGTCTCGAGTCTGGTGCGTGCAGCGAAGTTGCGTCTGAACGAGTTGGCTGGACGTCTGCCGCCTGTTGCAAGATGCACGATATGATCTAAAAGCATCATCTTTCAACGACCTACGTTAGGCACCCGCCTGATCTTACGCTACGTTTTGAAATCTTAAGCCAGCACGCATGGCCGGGTTATGAAAAACCACGGTCCCCCGATACCAAACTTTATCTTAAAAAAAAACCTGAGATGAGCATCTGGCCCTGGATCATCCTCGAGCCTTGCTCCAAAGTTACCTCCCTGCCTTATACCTTCGCCTTCCTGGCCTTACTGTAAATATGCGAACACATAAAGAACGTAACCGTCCACGCCAGCCGTGCCAATTCAGTTATGTTGTCAAGTTGTAAGCGTAGTTGTTCATCTGACTCGAGGATGGCCCAGTGCCGAAAGCTTTTCTGTGCTATTTTAGACAACCTTTCGCATCTTGATGCCGTTATTCACATAGATAAGACAGTAGTAATAGCCTCACACCTCGAAGAAAAACCAGGAGAATGGAGATATACATGGGTTGATATCTCGGCAACATGCCTTCATCGAAGCAATAGCAGAAATGAATCAAGATAAATGATGGGTTTCGAAATAGCACTATGTTACTTAAGCCAGCAAAAAACAATGCATGGTTTCCAGATTGCGTCCGAGGTCCAATCAGACCCGACTGGCTCATAGGTCTTTGTGTGCGGTTGGGGGCTTCACGACGCACTCAGCTGCTGAGGCCATATGGCGTCGCCTGCCTGTCACCCTGGCGGGAAGGGCGGGCAACGCGGGTAATCGAATTCCGTACCTCTGGTTTCACAGACGCGCAATGGTCAATGCAGACGTGTTACACACCTCATCATTGGCAATCCAATAGGTCAATCCATATGCAATAGTTTACTCACCTTGAGAAATACTTTGTCCTGAACAGGAAGTTCATTCCAGTGGAAAGTTATAGTGGTTTCCAGGAGCTGCAGCCCCATATACCGCACAAGATCGGGTCTCTCCGAGGCGGACAGATACACGCCGCACTGTAGCGCCAATGGCGACTCCTTTAGGCGCTCGCATAACTCGTAGATCCGCTGTCTCTCGGCAGGTGGCAGTGTTGGCGACATCAGGGCTTGCATGGCTGCGGCAGCCTCCAAAGAGGCAGCCTCAACCTCGGGTGAGAAATTCATCTGAAACCAACCACAAATTAATCAGCTAAGGATACCATACATTATTCCTGCTTCACCATGGCTGAAATGCTGCCTTCAAATATTCAGAAAACCAAAAGCTGGCCTCCAAATTTTGCTGCTCAGCATATTCATGACTGAGCAAACATAGTGTTGGTTTTGTTGTTAGAGCATGAGACAGTAGACCCTTATCATGAGTTTTATGTGTATCTGGGGCAGTATTTTGCTCTTTGTGCTCTGCAGACTATGACCAGCAGCGCTAGGCAGAGAATAAGAAAAAAGAGAAGGGGCAAGGCACAAGGGCATGCCAGTCAGGGGCTGGTCTTCACTCTTGCTAGCTTTACCAGTGCCAACATCCTATGCATTGCACTATGGGGTGGGCCATAACACTCATTCCACACAAGATGTGCTACAGTGAAAACAGAAGAAACAGTGCCATAGCCCTCATAGGTGGTCAAAAAACTGCTTTGTTCTCCTTTAGCTTAACACAGTTATCCATGTGTGTGTGTGGAGCAAAGCTCATACAAGTCAAAACATACCAGCTTGTTTCTTAAATGTGACATGTTATTTCAGGGCATTCAGTGACCTCCAATGACATTGAACTTAGATGATCGTGTACATATGGCCTTCACGCAATGAGATGTCAGTACAAGGAGGCATAGAATGTCACCATATGGGGGGAGCCCCTTTGGAAGGAGCACAAACATTAACTTGGGCAGCTTCAAGGGCATTACCTCTCTCACAATGGCACTGAGAGCCAAGCTTTCTGGCTTTCTGGCTTTCTACCATTCCCTCTCATGTCTTATGCATTTTTTTCCCAACATGAACATGTCCTTAACACACTCCATACAAGTTGGAGTAGTAGGGTTACAAGAATGTTATTCTCCTTTTCCAAATAAAACACAAATAATGTTATGGTGATGTCTTGTAGAGCATTCATAACCAACACCAAGTAAGAAAAATAATCCTGGAAATAAGCCATGCTACTGAACCATTTGAAAGTGACAATCCTAGATATAAAAACAGCAATTAGTTTTAATACTGATGCTGCATAACTAATGCCACAATTATTATTATGGTAAAATCAGTCACAATTAATCTTATCAGATGCTGCCAGATGTCATCTGAAATTTCCAGGTTTTTTGATGTTCTGAACATTCAGGCACTTGAATCTCCAGCCTGAAAACTCAGTCAAGACTGATTTCATGAAATATGACAAGAGAATTAATCAGTGAGAAATTATGAAATATGAAACATGCCCAAAATATGCCAACAACCTCTCAGATTCCAAATACTTTCTGCTCACAGCTGGGTTCAAGGCCAATCTGCAAAAACAACTTGACCTGCTGTGCTGGATGCCTAAGTGACAATGATGTGCTGAACCTCCCACTTCCGTGCACCGGTGGCCAGGCTCAGTTGCACCAAATTTTCACTGTTACTAACAGACATATTATCATCTTTTATATAATTTTCACACTGATATCTTATAGATATCATCATATCTAGATATCATCAATATCTAGCAAACATGAAGTTCTCCATTTGTCCCAACTATGGTAGGGTAAGCAGCATAGATGATGGGAATTATGCAAATCTGAACACTTTCATACAGTCATGACAAATTCTATTGTTTCAGAGCCACTCCACATTGCAGGGTGTGAGCCCATGACCACTCTGACCACAATGATTAATGATCAGATATAATGATTATATCAACTCCAAGCAATTACTTAATATTTTGTTTTGTTGCAAGCGCGATTTCAGACACCGCCGCAACGTACGGAAGCTTTGTGCCAAATTGTCTGATGATACAAATGTTGTTGTGTTTAGTGTTTAACGTGCAGCAGTAGGTCGAACAGTAGCACATTTCAAACGCATTAATCAGTGACACCCCTCACCATTGCCCACCCTCGACGGGTCGCCGGTCACTCTCAACACGATGCTGCCATCGCCTCCGAAACGGCTAGTGGTGGTGAGCGCTGGATTTGAGCTTCGCAGTCCAGAAATGTGTTTCCAATTAGCGCTACCAAATTACTTATCCATCTAACCTTACCCTACCGTGATAGGAAATTTAGCAAGCGCTCAGGAGGGGGTCAATTTGACCCCAAGGAGGTTTCTCTGGAATGGTTTGCGAACGACGGGGCGTGGCCGCGCCAAATGTTGCATAGCTGTAAACGATTGAATAGCAGACCGTTTGGTGACCTGCATCAGGCCACAATCAGGTTTTGCATTCAGCGAAGTGAATTTCTAGGGAATCGTCCAACCTGATGCAACAACGGAGCGTTGGACGGGGCTATATATCTTTGAGATGCTTTTTTAAGCAGCACAACAATCGATGACCAAATTTCATTGACCTAGGGTCAGGTATAAAGGTCAGACCAAGGTCAACATCCGCCTGTTTTGTTGCTCTATGGCTTGCTGTAACGGGCAGTTTCTGGCGCTTATTTCGAATTCATTAATACATGGAACAGCTTTATGCATCTTCCATGGACTTCTTTAAGGTCATAATAGGTCACTGACCTGAAATGACCCAGATCGACGTTATGCTCTAGAAAAATACTGCTTGGTGTAATGTTTGTCGTTTATTCAAATGCAAATTCAGAGGACCTTCGAATGATTTTGGTCACTGTGTCCTTCAAAAGGTCAAATAAGGTAACTGTCATTACCTTTTCTTTAGAACAGGTGTCTAGGTTATGGGGGCACTTTGGACGCCAGTCTGGAGCTTGACCTTGTTTGACCTTATTTGACTCGAAGGTCATGGACTAGTAACCTTAATCTTATACACAGGTGAGTTTAACTACAGGCCAAAACATCCTGCAAATATTGCGTCTCTAGCTCTCTTAGTTCCTGAGATCTAAGGGTGGGCCAAACTGAACCCCACCCGAGCAAAGGGCATCCAATCGGCCACCCGGGCGCATGTTAAAACGCTTATTGGCCTTTCGATGCCGGTCTCTTCATCGGTTCAAGTGACCGGACAGTCCAAAATAAGGGATGTGATCGGTGCATGCGTCAAACATGATGTCAACCTAGTGTGCATCGAGGGAAAGTTTAAGCTGTTAACAGTGATGGTTTCCATAGTTCATTTGCTTTCAAATGATGTGCATTGTGTTGCTTTGGTCAGATCTAAGCAGACACTGCGTAGATAGCAACCATTTTTTAGTCCAGCTTACGAAATTATTTCGGAAATTCTGAGACTTCCACCTCGTGAACGATGTGAACCAGGAACCTAAAAATCGCTTTGTAATTATTTGTAATATAGATGAGTGGGTTTCCAAATATTCGTCGACGCTGGAGGGGTCATGACGTTGTTAATAAGGCCTTTTCTAGTTTTAACATTTTTGTTCACAAAAGAATGTACAGCACTTGCATACATGATCATATAAGGCTTCTTCATAACTCAGAATAGTGGCGTGCTACCGAGGTCAATAGTGAGGTTTTGGAATGGGCCTATAGGTATCTTTGGTGCTTATGACATGCAACACAATCGCTACGGATGTCATATAAAGTTCGTCGCTCAAGAAATACGGTGGAGATATTTCAAAGTGTGTGGGAGGTCGAAGTGTGTATCGGTCAGTGACTTGATCTTAGGTACCATTCAAGGGTGAAACTTTATGCCTAGTCAATGTGGGTGTCCTTTTGAAGGCCCATCTAAGAAGAAAAAAATGAGTGCGTGGTAAAGCAGGCCAACAACAACTGATGAAGAAGAGATGCAAAAACCGCCTTCGGTATCATAGCACTGGGGTCAGTAATATATCTGGCGCCGGAAAGGGCTAATACCGGCTTCACACTTGCATGTGATTAGGATACAGATGCACCGGGACCCGGGCGAGAAATTGCTCGTTCCGCAGTCAGCTGGGTCAGTTGCCGGGAATGTATATTGCTGAAAACGTATCTATCTCTACTTTGAAAGGTAGAAAACGCGTCGGCAGCCAGATCTGTGCAGAAAGTGGACGAGTAAGCCATGCTGGTCGCCGCAGTGGTGCTGGCTGGCAGTGGTGCTAGCTGGTAGTGGTGCTGTTTGTATGCATTACCAGAAGCGAAAGCTCAAGCACTTGCAATTAGCGGCTCCGCTCGTACTAACTGGGGACGAAAAGTGTTTGCGATATGAAAAGACGGGGCTGCATGACGCAAGCCTGCAGGGGTTCACTCTGAGGTGCAAATGAGCGAGCGAAAGCTGCATTAGCTGGACAGTGTTAAAGCTGAAGTTGCTCTCAGGTAGACGAGTTCGTGTTCTCGCTCATTGACGTGATAGCACAGCTGACGCGTCATCATATTATGGGAGGGGTGTGGCTCCCTTTTCGGATGGGGGAGCACGGGCTTCAGTCCCCCAGCTTGAACTCCAGCGCCACCCCCCCCCCCTCCGTTTTTGAGAGAAAAGTGGGCCGAATCCGGAGAAAACCCCGTTTTTAGCAAATTTTGGGGCTAGGCTTCATGATTATTCACGGTTCCGCCCACTAACCCATGTTCCGAAATTACACCCCAGCTTTGTAGCCAGAGACCATTCCTAGTTGAACACGCAGCTTCGCGGGCGTGTACCAACCATGAGGCAGTGCTGATCCTGAATTTTTCGGAGCATTTTATGCGGTGCCGAAAACACCCATATGGCTTCCCTGGTGCGACGTTGTACTTTGCGCAAGGAATTACCACCAGAGCTTTTGTGAGGTATCCAACTTCCTGTTACGCAACGCAGCGGTAGTGACAGCAATTCAAACTGCTGGTTTGTTTTGTATCGCATGTACACGCACGAAACGTGCATCCAGGTTTGCAGTAACTGCACGCACTACTTTTTACCCGGAGGCTCAGTCAAGTATAAAAACAGGTTTAACTCAGCAAATATCGTTGATCATGAGGTAGTTTTTGGGTTCGTATGTGACTGACATTTGCATCTGCCTGGCATGGCAAAAATGCATGCGACGGCATCCGTACGTTCGTCAAGCGAGCAGTAAAACGTGCTCGTTTGCATTGGTCCATGGAAAACCGAAAACTAAGCTCTCGCACCTTCTTGGAGTTCTGTGACAAAAACTTTGAAGAGAAGATAAGGTGCTTTTTTGTTGTCTGCCCAAAACTGCTACTGGAAGAGGCACAGGAATTGGACAAACGTCTGCGCAGTGTTCTGATCGTATACGGTCTTTGAACGTTCCAACACTTAGCAACGGTAAAGGAATGTAAGATACTAGCACATTAGTTGTTATCATCTGAATTGGTCACCATGTCCTCGGTGTGTGCAACTGCCATCAATGCTGTGTGTGTTTAAGCTGCAGGTGCTTGCGAGATACCACGTGAAATTGTACGTCCAATACACGCAAAAATTCCTGCGTTTGCTCGCTATGCGTAATCCATTGCAGGATGTGCTGTATCGTGTGCAGTATCTTATAGCTACTATAAGATGCTGTCCACACAGATGTTAGAAATTAAAACATTGACACACTTCGTAAAGCTGACAGAAGAATGTACCACTGCTATTAGCGACCCTTATTCGTCCCCTACCGCCCACTACCCATTCCTGATCATTTTTACCCACCTGTTATCCGCCCGTTTTCACTTTTCCAACACTTTCATGATATGTTATGGATGGTTTTTATGAATATTTATATCAAAATTTACCATGTTGCATTAACAACTGCAAAGGCAGTGTGAAGGAAGCTGAATGTGACTTAAAAGAAAAGTAATAGTATTTTGTGTTATTTCGAGAAGTGTCTGCCCAGCATGCCATAAACGTCTTATCCCCATCGCTACACAAAACGGGGACTTCCCTGAACGCTGTACCCTGCCTAACCTATTATTCAATTCATTCCGGTACCCGTTGGCTCACCCAACCCCCCAAGTTCTTAATTTGTCACCATATAACGCACAGCGAAACAAAAAATAACCCATGCTGCCAGGATGCATTGCAGAGCTTACGTGTGATGGTGACGAAGTTATGTAGCCGGATGCGCCTTTGAGATCCTGAATTTTTCCCATGCTGCGCTTTTATCAGCGATAATTTTTAGCTAAAATGTATCACTAGAATAACCTATGTTCACTAGATACAACATTGCATTTTTAACTACCGTTCAAGGTCAAGTCACTGACTGGCAGGTGACCTATGTGACCTCCACATACTTCAAGAAATCAACAACATGTAGCCGGCGGTCTTTCAAATAATATCCATGTGAGCTATGTTGCACGCCAAATCGCCAGCGGCATTTCAAGGTCATGGTATGACCTTATTATTCAATCAGATACACATTACAAGGTCGGGGATGCAAGCAACTGTATGCATCACTCATAGAATGAACTGGTCATCTTTCAGTGATTTGTTATTACAAAAGAACGTCTTGGAAGGGTTATGGATGTAATAAAAAGAAGCAAGGTCACAGGGTTGAAACAAATTATAGTTGGTCTTTATCATTGCTCACGGCTGAGCATATCATCCGGTTTCACACGATGTGCTAGTTTTATCGGATGTAAGTGGCAATTGCACAAATTAGCACTCTGTTCCCCTCTCACTTTCCAAATGATCCTCAAACTACGATGATTATATGTCGTGACCTATGTGAGCTAGAAAGCTAAAGTTAGCAAAGATCGTGGACATCATATGGAGTCTAGGAAAACCTATGCACCAAATGTGCCGACATCTCAGGGATCATAGTAAATATGCCTTGGTGAGACCGAACACTATAATTGCCGAACTGAAATGTATAATTCGAAACCTATAATTGCCGAACTGTGCCTAACATGGATATCACTGACATGCATCTAAAACTTACAAAATGCTCCAGTGGGCTCATCCAGTCGCCAGCGTCCTTGAAACTCATCTAGCCGCCTTGATTCCGTAGGAAATACCCTTGCAAGTCGCGTCGCAACGTCGCGAGACCCGCGATTGCTTAGAAGAGCCAATCTAAACGCTGCGAAGTGTTCGAAGGCTTTAATGAACCAACCTCTATTTTCAGTTTGGAAAAGTATTTGCACCACGACGGCGAAATATTCAAGCCCTTGTCAATGGGTGCAATCTGTAGGCAATATTTTCAATGTGCAGATGATACATTTCCTGTCCGAGCCAAAAACTGCATCCGAAATCGGACGAGCACCGCCGCGCCGGTGTCCGAAACCTTAACAACCGAGTCACGAGTCCGGCGCCGCTACACTGAGCCATGCAAAACAAACGAGGTTTTGTCGATAATGTTACTCCATGATAGGAAACGTATCAAACCACACCGTCGGCTGCCAGCTGCGATTGGCGTTTGGAGGCGTGTGATTGCGTGCCGGCTGGCTGTCGGACCGAATTTGCGGGATCTGATTTATGGAGAACCTGGGATATGGTTGCTGGTTATTGGTCTGTGCGATTGCACGTGACCAGCTGCAATTCCTGGCTGGCGAATGGCGGAGAACGTCTGCCATTGGTGACTTGTGATAGGTAGACAACGGGCTGAAATTTGGTACTTGCGGCCGGCGCCTGTGTGCAACTGTGGTTATAGCAGCAATGTCTGCGAAACACTCAGACCTTGCTTTTTTGGTACCTGATATTCGGCTAGCGCAAATTCCCTCCTTTCCCAGTGCTTTGTTCTAAAAATAGACTCTGTTGTAGCGCAGAGTCTATTTTCAGAGCAGCAGAGGTTGTTTGCTGCCCGTCGTCTCTGGATGATGACCGGAAACAGATGTGGATCGCTGCGCTTTTATTTTTCGGCACATGCAACTCCGCTGCCACGTGCGAGGACATATGCTGCATGGTTCGAACACTGACTAGCTCTCATTATTAATGAGATGACGAGTGATGGAAAAAGGTGCTTTTGTGCAAGATGACGCCCATACAACACACAACCCACCACACCATTGCGTACCTTAGTGCATTGCTAGTGCGTGCACGACAAACTGCTGTGTGTGGAAACGCCTGCTCAGCATAAACTGAATAAATATTCCACTCATGATCACAGCTCGCAATGATGACACAAAACTAAAGTCAACTATAACGGTTCATGAGATCCAATCCTCGTCTCTGCAATGCCCCGTGGTGATAATATCCACGCAAGAGACACTTAGCTATTTGCTACCATGGTACGGTGAACCATAGGTTATCAGTGCATCAGTACCAGTATAGCGGATATCTATCATAATCAGACTCATAAATAGGACATGCATGTCTCCATCGCACTGAATTCCTACATGCACTGCCTCTGGTGAATTAAATCGACCATAGGCTGCTCTAAAGCGTCATAATACCGTATCGATGATACCAAACGAGGCAGGCCTCCTCCATACACTGTAATACGGCCTACTTGATCTTCTCGACCAGCCAGTCGCTGTAGTGGGAGACGTCGGTGTAGACGCCGGGCAGACTGGGTCGGCCGCAGCCGATGCCGGCCGACACGACTCCCACCAGCGTGGCGCGGCCCTGCTCCGGCAGCAGGAGCGGGCCGCCGCTGTCACCCTGGCAGCCGTCGCGGCCGCCCTCCTTGAAGCCGGCGCACAGCTGGCCCTCCCGCAGCTTGTTGCGCTTGCCGGCGTCGCGGAACCAGGCGGTGCACTCGGTCGGCCCCATGACAGGCACCGCCACCGACTGCAGCACGTCGGCGCGCTGGCCGCCGTTCTCGGGCTCGGCCAGCCAGCCCCAGCCGGCCACGGTGGCCGTGCGGTTGGCGGGCGGCGCGGCGGCCGCGTCCGGCAGGCAGGCGGGCTGGACGCGCCGGCCCCAGACGGCCGGCCGGGCCAGACGCAGCACGGCCAGGTCGTGCCGGAACTTCCCCACCGTGTAGCCCGGGTGCAGCGCAATAGCCTTCACTGGCAGCCGCTGTTCCTTGGCATCCGTCTTGGTCAGGTCGTGCTCGCCGGCCACCACGCTGAACCGGTCGGCCGGCACCGTCTTCAGGCAGTGCGCGGCCGTCACGGCGAACCACTTGTTGACGAGCGTGGCGCCGCACCAGTGCTGCTGGTCGCGCTGTAGCGACAGCAGCCAGGGGAACTGGCCGGGCCGCGCCGCGCCGCCGCCCACGATCTTGGTGGCGGCCGCCTGCTTGCCGCAGGGCACGTCGGCCAGGTTGAGCGCAGCGGCCGCTGCGGCCAGAGCCAGCGGGGCGAGCAGGAGGCGAACGAGCTGCATGCCGCTGCTGTGGACTGCTGAGGCGGAGGGGACGGCGGAGACTGATGCCGCTGACCGGGCGCCGCGCCGCTTTATACGCGCCCTGCTCGGCAGCCGGCCGCCGGCCGTGTGCCCGGCCCGCCGCGGCACCGGGCGCTCGCCGCCGGCTGAAGGTCGCCCCAGGCGCTGCCTGGCGCGCCCCGCCGCTGCCCTTCCGCTTCCGACCGGCCGCTTCCTGGCCGGCGGTCCTCTGCAGCCACGGCCGACCACCCGGCCGGCCTGCCGTGCGCCGCCCGCCGGCCGCGCAGCGTGGCGGCGCAGGCTTTGAGTCCATTATCGTGCATTGCACTTTGGTGGTGTTCACTTAGCAGTTGGATTCTGTCTGTTGCGTTCCTGGTAATCGTTTTGTCGTCACACGTTATAGTGACGTAGTGAGCGCGTTTGGCTATCGATTGAGGATCGTTTGTTGTCCGGCCTTCGCCCAGCTTGGTTGTTGGGCAGAACTTGTGTCTCGAATTGACATACGAGCATTTAATGTGGTAAGTATAGCCACTGCAGCTCTGTAGTGAATGCACTACTATCCCTTGCTAGCTGCTGACAGCCACCGCCGTGATCATGAAAACTTTACGGAAACGCAACTCATCCTTTATGCGTGGCAATATGGGGTCATTTTTATACAGACAAATGGGGGCTCAGACGGCAGGTGAAGTTGTTGTCGAGGCCACGTTAACGGTTATTGCACATGCTTCTGACCTGCATATGGTTATTGCACTCACAAAGGCTTCATTACCTGTGGGTTCGAGTCTCCGACTTACAAGGCGTGCGTGGATGAAAGCGTTAGAAGGCCTGGGATAAGGGATGTGGGCCAATGTTGTGCCAAGTGCAAGAAGAATTTGTATCATGCACATCTTTCGCGTGTTGTGCCCTATCTTCACACTAAAGAGTAACCAAGCGCCGTGAATAAATACTCTGATGTACATTGTTTCAGATATCCCGTCTTAGCATGCTATACGATACTAAAGATGTCTTCCTGAATATTTCATGACATCATCGCGTAGTCATCGCTAGCTTGGCCAATAATGACAACATGTGCCTCTGTGTTTTATAAGCTTCATACAAGTTTTTTTTAAAGCTTTTTGTAAGCTTTATAAGCTTTTATAAGCTTCTTTACACGTATGAGAAACCTGCTTTATTGTTCCAGAGGTTTACTTACATATTTCAAGTCCGACCCTGCCCGAATAGCAATGTTTATTGTGTATCAACGGCGCCACCCAGTGGAATGAACAGCTGTATGATGAAGTCACCGTCGACGGGCTCGTCCATAGCTCATAGAAAGAATGGCATGGTCTCCGAAAGCAAAAACAAACAAGCTTATCTTGCAATCCTTATCTTGCTAACGTCCTTATCTAATGCTAACGTCCTTATCTTGCAATCATTTCAGCTAGAGTGATCGCGTGGCTTCGTGTGTTGTGCCTTGTAAGCAGTCAATCAGCTGGCGCTGCTTTCCCACATCGGTCCCGCATTCGCTGATAGCTGCCAACATTCGACTGCTTAGCATGCAGCATGATAGCACATGCCGAGTGATGTGGACCGCCTGTGAAGTGGCTGTCCCTGCCCTCGCCGTTACTGACAGTGAAATATGCATGAGTGTGGATCTGAGGGAAATGTATTGCCTCTGAATGTCTCAGTCGGCCACATTGGTGCGAACGTCGAACTGTTTAAAGAATGATAGATGCAGCCATACAGCGCTTCCGGTATCTGCCAATTAGTCGGTCAAATGTCAAACGATGGCGTGCACGCACGTTTGTGCCATGTCATGCATATGTTCGTGGTTCTCTTTAACGGCACTGCTCGTTGGCACGTGAGCACTTAACGCACCGATTCATGACAACGCGTCTGCGTATGTCGTAAGCTAGTCCCGTGTGCACATATGAACGCTAGCTCTGACAGCGATCTACCTTTCTCTTAAACATTTGTTTCCGTGAATATGACTCTACTTCGTTCCCTTTATTATTATTTTTTTGTTGTAACTTCACTCCTCGAGAGTACACCTCTAGAAAGCGCGCAAAAAATAAAGCGGTTTTCGGAGTGTTGCGTGATAGTTTCCGTAAATCGCCGCGCTGTGTTCCGTGTTCCGGGTTCGCGCAGCGACCTCCAAAGGTCATCAACGTCCGCTCTGCACACGCTAAGCTTCCGCATGGTTCACAGGTCCTGTGCTCCCCGTCCCAGCCCGTGTTGGACGCGATACCACGGTAGAATGCGGATGTTATGGCTGATCCCCGTGCGGGGTGCTTGCGCCGCCCCGCTGCCGCCCAAAACGGTCGGCTCTTGAAGCCGGCTTGAGCTTTGGCTTTGCGGTCTACCTGGGAGTCCGGCAGCACCAATCAACAGTCACAACACCAGATGGTCCTGCAGTCCACGGCACCAGTCACCAGTCACAGCACCAGACGGTCCCGCGGTCCGCGGCACCAGTCACCAGTCACAACACCAGACGGTCCTGCGGTCCACGGCACCAGTCACCAGTCACAGCACCAGACGGTCCCGCGGGCCGCGGCACCAGTCACCAGTCACAGCACCAGACGGTCCCGCGGTCCGCGGCACCAGTCACCAGTCACAACACCAGACGGTCCTGCGGTCCACGGCACCAGTCACCAGTCACAGCACCAGACGGTCCCGCGGGCCGCGGCACCAGTCACCAGTCACAACACCAGACGGTCCTGCGGTCCACGGCACCAGTCACCAATCACGGCACTAGACGGTCCTGCGGTCCGCGGCACAGGGAACGCTCAGGGAGGCTGCACACGCGACATGGTTGGACACGACCCTGTGTGGCAGGTCACCAACTCGTGCGTCGTCATCGTGCGCCGTCATATAGGTAAGCTGGTACCGACATAGGCAAAAGGTAGCCTTTGTCAAAGCATTTTGAAGGATCTTTGTCTTTGTTACTTGCGTTCAGCATGATGCACCAAAACGCACTGTGTCGAGCATTGCGGCACGTGAGCGCTCTCAGCTAATGTATGTAGATGAACTGGAATGTCACGATCATACATGGCGTGGTAGTGGTGATGGTGTTGGTGAGGGTCGGAGGATTCACACGATAACTACTGCTTCGCGTGAAAGCCGATCCCAGAAATCAATGTAGCTAGAACGTTTGGACTAAATTTGGAAAAACTTGCAACACACACCGGAATGGCTTCGGATGTAGGGGATTATCTCCTCGGGGCGGGTCCTCGGTATCTCCTTGCTGACGTGACACTGTCGTCCCCCTCAATCCCCACGAGCGACAGCACGCAAGTTATTAGATGGCTAGATGAGTGGTATAGACATTAGATGAATTATCTGACTTTCTACTTGATACAAATGTCTATTATTCGGATAGTAATACTTAGATTGCCAGATACGTATACGCCACGCCGAGCAAAAAGCAGGTGTACTCCATGTCGTGGCAAGAGCTCAGCAGTCATGACAAACTCCGGAAGTGCTTTGTCGCGACGCACCTGCAGTACACAGCTGTGACAAACTATAGCTATGGTTTGCAGGACGGGATCAACTATCCCTGCAGCTGTGAAAACTCCTCCGAGTGGTTCACCTCATGGTCAGTGTAGCCGTCAGCCTCGAAGTTTCGGGGCTAAGTTATCGTCATTCGCGGTGTGGTAGATAAGCATGTGAAGACGCTTGCGCGCAGTGATACACATTGCTGCGTGCCCGCGTCTACATGGCCGTCGTTGCAGCGTCCCACGCCATTACCACCATGCCGGCGATGACTGGAACTATGCCTGCGCGCTTGGGGATTCCCTGGTAGGGGCCGCGCCTCACGCGCTTCCACGCGCCTCTCTGACTTTCCAAATGTCTTAAACGGGACTTAATTATTACCTTCTCATCGACATGTTCATGCCTCGTCAGTCCCGTGTACTCGTGCAGGTACCCCAGTGTGAGTTGCCTCTGTAAGTGCTCACCATGCACCTCCATGCGTTCTTCATGACACTTTACATTCCCATGGCTGTATGATTGTAGTGGACTCGCTGGGCGTTCTTAAACGACACCGGAGTTTGTGCATCATCTTCTTAGAATTGTGACATACGCGCTGCTCCAGGGTGTGTAGAAAGTATCCCTGTGACCGGCTTCAACAAGCTCGCCTGACAGCCGTAGTACACAGCCGAACAGGCGTCTGTGCGCTGGCTACCACTTCTTCGTCCCAAACCATCACGATTCGCCAGCATGTCGGCGCCGATCGACCGCCTGTCGGTCCGACATGAGACCCAGGGCCCCCAGCGACGCGCCCTGTACTTGTTGCAGTAGCCACTGTTGGTTCGGGAAACGGGAAACTTAGAGGCGGTGTCTTACCGGTTTTCGGTCGGGCCATTAATGTCTCTCTCCGCCGACAGGGAGCGATTGACGGCGTCTTTATTTGGCGTCGAGGATCTTATGACTTTCATCGTATCCTGCGTCATACCACAGAAGCTCGCTCACTCCATAACGTTTAATCATGTACTCGTATTTTACGCTTTATTTACACTTCATGGTAAAACAGACCATACAGAGATTGATGAATCTCTTGTTAGCAATCTGACAGTACTCAAAGTTGAGTTTTTTCAAATGTCCACGGTTTTTTTTATAAAAAAAGCCAAGGAGGGCATTCCAAGCGTCGATGCGCCAATGCTTGGCGTTTTAATGAGTTCCATGTTCATGCCGATGAGGAGTTCCATCAAGCCCTCTCCGAACCGTGCGGTTTAATTCACGATATTCATGCACGAGCCCACGTTTGTGGTAGAAACTTTATATTCATGCATATATGCGTGCCAATGAGCGAGCTCTTATAGCTTCTCATTGCTATAAAAAAATATCACCGTTCCTGTCAACTGCAGGCCAATGGGGGCATATACAGGGCAGGTGCACGGTTCGTCCAGGGCAGGGCAGGTGCTGGTCGTAGGGCCTAGGATTAAGTGGGATTTGCTTTTGTCCCCCCATGGGCGAGTTGGCAATTTATACGTTTTGCTTTATTGAATTTCAAACTGCGATGAACGGTGTGATAGCATAGATACAAACGAAGGGCTTGTGCATAAGTCATACGGAATAAATCGGGGCACCTTGCCCAAAAAAGAAGAAAACAGAAAATGGCCGCCGGAAATGTCATTCTAATAACGAGCCTCCCCACAGTGTCAGCCGCCGACACCGCCACCTCATACCGCGGTTAAAGCGCCTAATGACGTAATCCCGGAAGCACGCCGCGATCACCCGACCTTTCCCGTTGTTGATGTGTATTCTGTACGTTGAAGAGAGTGTCCCGCTTTGCATGGGGTTTTGAACTGAAATAGCCATCTTAAAAATCATACGGTGCAGTTCACAGTCTTGCCCTTCTTGAGACCTAAGCCCCTCTGGTTTCTGAGCTACACACCCGCGAAGATGTGCAGGCTATTGCGGGGAGACTATTTCAAGGTCACCCAGGAATCCGTGACGCCATAATAACGTCACTCAAAGCCTGGCATTGCATTACCCATGCGGCGATCAAGGCCAATATAAATCTAATTATCTAGTCGTGTCAAGTCAGCGAGAGACGTCCGAAGAAATGGCGACTTCATATATAAGTAAAGCATAACTCTCCAAACTTATGATTTATTACAACAGGTGACCGGAAAATCAGAACAACTGCACCAGATGAGCTAACCTGACATTGGCCTCGTATGACCGCATCCTGAGCTGACCTGACTCTTGAAAATTATAACATCATGACATTCCCAACGGACAAGAAAACGTTCGGTCGTTCCACCTAGTTACACAGCTCTACGGCCAGTCTTGCATCTGTACTTGCGTTGATATTGGTCTGAAAATAGTGGTTTCAGTTGCTCTGAAGTGGCTCAAGATTTTGATGATTTCTAATTGTATTCTGCAAGTCCCTGTAACAATATCAAGCATGTCATATATGTCAAATCTATATCTGGGTGGAGCTGACCAGGATTACCAATTACCGTGTGAATTCTGCGATTACATGATAAGATCCTAAGATGTCAGAGATACAACGTACTGCTGGCGCCAGAACGTAGAAGGCTCCGCATTTCGGAGATAAATTTCAAACAAACCACCTAGTATGAGTCCATTTTTCCCAATGCGTGTTTCAGACTACGTAACCTTTTTTAGCAAGTGTCGTGGGCATCAAACGAAAATAAAAATTACACATCCTTTTCACTCATCATGCAAATAACGGTGCTGCCACAATTGATATAGGCTACCGCGACGTATGCTCCGACGTCAGAGATGAGGTGCTGGCGTTTTCCTGGCGCCAGGACCAGATGCCGGAAGCGCTGGGACGTGACGGGACTGCACGGGACGGGACTGCACAAACGAAATAGCAGGACGAAGGGTAGTGCACGACAGAGAACAGGGCAGGACAGAAGGCAGAGGACTTGGTCAGAGGGCAGAGACCAAAGGATTAAGTACATAGGACAAAGGACTAGACGGCCAGGAGCTAAACAGTAGATAGAACTACTGATACTAGATACCAGAACTACTAGAAGTAGATATAAGAACTAAACTAGACAGTAGATAAACACAAACTCGCCCTGTCCTGGCCAGCGTATGCTTATGTGTTTTGTTCAAGACAGGATAGGACAGGACTGACCCGGCCAGGGCAGGCCCGGCCTTACGGGGGCTTTTCACCTTCGTCCTAAATGAGCCTCCGTCCTGATCACCTTTGTCCTGATCACCTTTGTCCTGGTCACCTTCGTCCTAGTCACCTTCGTCCTGGCCACCTCCGTCCTGGTCACGTGGGTCCTGGTTACCTTCGCCCAGGTCACCTTCGTCCTGGTCACCTTCGTCCTGGTTACGTTCGTCCTGGTTAGCTTCGCCCAGGTCACCTTCGTCCTGGTCACCTTCGTCCTTGTCGTCTGACTGAACTTCACGGTCCTGGCCTTGTCGCTGTTGAGAAATGGGCCTACAGGTTGACACGGGATCGACGCACGTGCACAGATGTCGACCGTTCGCTATTGGTGTCCCCAAAAGGCTTGAGTGCTCCGATTGCTGTAAATAGATTCCTGATCAGTGCAAGAAACCCCCTGACTGACATTCGACGACCCCCACCCTGCTGGCTGGGTTCACCTTTTGGTGGGACCGCCACATTTCTAGGGCCTTCGGTCATCCCCTCGGGCTCTAACTTGAGCCCTTCATCGTTGGTCTTGGTGGTCCTTCGGACCACTCGGGACCCAAGGGATACCGGCCCTCTGCTTGTGACCCTAACCCCAAATCATCATTATTGTTGTTGGTAAAAAGCACCTCATGCCGAATGCTCAACACTGAACATGGAGCACTTATGTGCAAGCTTGATGTGAATGTTGTATGATCCGACTGTGCGTTGCATTGTGTTGTGCTGCACGTTGTATGATCCAGTCCGTTGTTTGAATCAATCCCATCACACATTTCACTCCGTCAAATGAATGTCATCAAATCAACCCACGTTATCGGCACCCCACAATCCCTGACAAATTAATCCTGTCACCCTGACATTGATTGCTACAAGTCAAGCCCTTCGCCATCCGTGAATGTGCTGGGTTTACTACAGAAATACCTTTTACTGAGAGACCCTTTTAAAGAAGAGGAAGTATCATTTTCAACACGGGAATTACTCTTGGGAACTACGTTCATGCTGAGAGAGGGCAAACTACAAAATGCCCAAATGGGCCACCTAAGATCAGGCGGTGGGTCCCCTACAAGCCCGAATGGAACCTGTAAGCCAATAATGGGTCCTCTACTGGACATAATGGGCCCTGTACAGGCCAGAATGACCATCCACAACCAATAATGACTTCTCTACAAACCAGAACGGGCACCCTACAGTCAAGGATGGGCCCTCTGCCAGCCTGAGTGGGACCTTGCACATGCCAGAATCTACCCTCCACAGTCGGTAATGCGCCTTTCACAGGTTAGAATGGGCCCTCTACAGACCGACATGAGTTCTTCACGATCGATGACAGGCCCTCCATAGGCCAAAGTGGGTTCTCCTAAGACTAGAACGGGTCCTTTAAAAGCCAGAACGAGCCATCAACAAGCAAGACTGGGCCCTCCAGTCAACAATGGGAGTCTACAAATCCGAATGTGCATTTTCGGGTCATAATGGGCCCTCCATAATCAATAATGGGTCTTCTATAGGTCAGCATTCGCACTCTTCAGGCCCAGAAGTGCCTTCCGTCGGATAGAAGGAAGCTTATATAGGCCAGGATAAGCCCTCGACAAGTCAGAATGAGCTTTTACAGGCCTGCGCAGCAATTTCTTTACGGTTCAGAATCGGCCCTTAACATAACAAAATGTTTGTTCCACGGACATTCCAAGTTGGCCCTCCCCCCAGCTTTCAAGTTTGGGGGGTAAAAATGACCTCACAGCCCCTGGTTCTCGCGCTCTTGGAGATGCGCAGATCCCATGTTTTTAAAAGTACATCACTGCTTCCACAAAAGTCGTCACCACCTCATGCCCAAGGTTCGTTAACTCCTTATCCAGTCCTACATCACCCCCCCCCCCCTTCCCCCTCCCCCATCAGCCCCACTTCAGCGTCTCTGTCTGGGGTGGGGCTGCAGCGTGCCACCTAAACAGAGTGCAAGAGATGTTGAATTTTGGGGTCAGGATCGTCATCGATGCTCGTTGGTGAGATTTGATGGCGGCAACTGTTCGAGCGCTGGACTGGCACAGTGATAATGACCTTGTCACCCGCCGTGACAGCCTTGCTGTATTCAGGTCCTTCAGTGACTCGCAAGCTTGGGTGATGACCCGGCCCTGTTCACCCCACGTACTGCCGTATGCAAGCGTGCCAGCCGGGCGGCAGCGGCGGGCACCCTTGACTTGCCGCTTCCCGCCTGGTGGAGTTGCACAGGGCCTTTTCGTATCCCGCGTCCTCACCGCTGAGCCGCCTGCCGCCGGCCATGACCGTCTCCCGCGCCCGCAAGGAGCTCCGCGCCGGACTGGACGGTGTGCGGGCCGTCTTGTAACATGCTTTGACGATAAGTGACCACGTTTTTGGCGACGTGCGCGTGAAGGACGGAATAATTCCAAATGCACAAGCGTGGTCATGGTGTAGTCATTTTTTGATATTACACTTTTACTGTTATCATTCTCTTACACACCCCAGAGTGTCCCCAAAACCGACATTAAGAACAACTATCTTCTTGTTAGAATGATTCGCCGATAAAGAACTTGAACTTGAATGGTTTCATTAGCATTTCCATATGTAAACGGAAAGTCGACCATTTTAGGGGGTAGGCAATGCTTGGCCTTGTCTAGTGCAGTGTTGTCACTGAACAACATAACAACACGACGTCAATCTCTTAGTTATCCGGGGGCCCCGACGCATGGGCCCGCTAATCCGTTCACGTTATGAAAAGCGTCAAATCCTTGATATATTTAATAGCTAGTGTTGCGTTTGCATGTGCCGATTTGTGCAATATAATACAGTACTTCCAGCATATGCCTGACAGGGATTCCCTCATATGTGGAAGACTGTAGTACATAAATGCATTGCCCGGATACCGCGGATAACTGCCGATTACTGCGGGCCACGGCTCAGCTGAACGACCTGCTGCACCAGCCTCTCGATAGACGGTGTCGGGTGTCGCGCCACGGGCGAGGACCAGGCCGCGGTGTCACGTCACGGGCGAGGACCAGGCCGCGGTGTCACGTCACGGGCGAGGAGCAGGCCTCAGTGTCATGTCATGGGCAAGGAGCAGGTCGCGGTGTCACGCCACGGGCGAGGTGCGGGCCTCGGTGTCCCGTCACGGGCGAGGAGCCACTTCACCGGCGAGAAGCGGGCCGCGGTGTCACGTCACGGGCGAGGAGCAAGCCGCGGTGTCCCTTCACCGGCAAGAAGCGGGCCGCGGTGTCACGTCACGGGCGAGAAGCGGGCCGCGGTGTCACGTCACGGGCAAGGAGCAGGCCGCGGCGTCTCTTCACGGGCGAGAAGCGGGCCTCGGTGTCACGTCACGGGCGAGAAGCGGGCCGCGGTGTCGCGTCACGGGCGCGGAGCGGGCCGCGGTCTCGGGACCGATCGATATTGGCCGTCGTCCGGAGGTGGTCTGCACAGCTGCAGCCTCTCTCGCGCTGTGACGGCCGCAGCCGACACCTGTGCACTGCGCCGAGGGCGACCGTCAACTTGTCCCGCACACGGTGTGCGGTGGCCAGGGCAGCACAGTAGCAACACCGTCCGTCGACACAAGGCAGGTAAGATCGCGCGCATGTCTGAGTTATGTCTTTTGCACATTTGTTTGCAAAAAAATGTATGCGTATTGACTTCCTTGCGGGAAGACACAGAAATGTCAACTAATACACAAATAGCGCAAACTGAGTTCCAGGGCAGGACATCAAAAACCTTGAAAATCATGTCAAAGTAGCTGGAAAGGACATAGTCCAAACGTATATTAGATCTCGACTAACATATGTATTTATATATCTGGTAAGTGTTAATGGACATAACTTTGCCGGTGGCATTCGGGGTTTATTTCCTGAGTCAATCCCATCCATGGTTCCTATTCAAAGAAGTGCAAACCGTTAGAATGTGCATCATTAGTCATACGTGCCTAATCCCGTGCCTCCTTGTGTGCTCATAACCACCCTGACGAGCCTCTGTAGGGGGCTGAAAAGCTCCAGCTCTGCTCATCGAGACCAGCCCTGATGTAAGACCAGCATGTGCAGGTGTTCACTGACGTGCCACGACCTTAGCCTTTGGCACAAGGAGCCATGGCGTTTCGTCACCACTCGGGTAAGCAGCAGACTTGCCCTTTGCGAACTGGCCAGACAGTGATAGCGTCTGGCCATATATAGTGATGGTGATAGCGTCTGCCAACCAGGCCGTCAAACATTTGTGGACGCGCAGTACGAGCAGCTTGGGTTATCCTCGGCTGGACTTTTCTTACATACCGGTAGCTGTTGCCGTCTTGAAATGCGCTTCTGATGTCTTGGCTCAAGGATCGTGACTGCTTACGACTGCGCCTGATTAATACCCATAACCACAACTTTAATGAATGGCGTGCGGTGATCAGCGCAGCGACACAGCAGCGTGCCAACGACATCGAGGCGATTTATTTCCAGTGGCAATACCCTGGTCGGAAGAGCACGGGATATCTCTGCTATCGCTTGGCAGTCGCCTGCTTCTTCTTCGTCTGGACTGTCATCGACATGGCGACATATGCCGTTCCTGGTCAGGTACTGCCGGCTGTATGTGGTATCACTTGTCAGGTGCTGCGGTATGCCTTCCCGTTGGGGATTATTGGCCGGCTCTGGGTCAGGTAATGCTGGCTGTATGTGGTATCACTTGTCAGGTGCTGCGGTATGCCTTCCCGTTCGGGGGTTATCGGCCGGGTCTGGGTCAGTACTTGCTGATCATGTTCGTCATGTCCGGAAATTTTCCCGTGGCTGGTGAATTATACTGTTCCTAAATGGCCATGAGTTGTCGCATATGCTGTTTCTGAGCAAGCTGAAAATTAAGCAATGACTTAGCTCCACGGGCAGATGAGGAATCTGCACCCGGTGAGTGCCCCAGCTGCCCGTATCGTAACACCTGAGCCCGCATCGGCAGCGCTCCCGCTGGCTGATCCACATCACCAACTGGAGCAAGCTGTTCGTGATGATTGACGTGGTGCTGCAAGCTGCACACACCTGCCACTACCAGCTGTGGAAGCTGCGGAAACGTCCACCAGGTCAGCGCACAGGGGTCCCACGGCCACCACCGGGGGCTGATCGACCACCGCTCCAGAATAGCGGACCCAGAGTAGCACGGCTATGACACAAGACCAGCGGGGGCCGCCTCGGTCTGGGTTGACCAGCAGGCAGATCCGTTATGCCACTGCGGCGTTCGGTAACGTCCCGTTCCGGTGATGGGATTCTGTCGAAATTGGCGCCTGTGTGGACTGGGAGGCTTAGCCCAACTCCTACGCCCCTGCGGTGACCCGGTGACCGGCCGTCTGCTGGGGCAATTTGGCGCCCACCAAAAAGCGATTTTAAGCTGGCATACGCACTTTTTGACCATGCACATCCGCTGTGAAAGCCGGGAGATGGGCACGGTCTCGCCCTGCAGTCATGCGTCAAGACCGTCTTATGAGAATGCTGAACGCTCGGCCGAGCGGCCAGGCCCCACGATGTGTTTCCCTTTTCCATTCTTCTCCTTTTTCCATGTTCCCACATTGAAATACGTATCTTCCATCGAATTTTTTGGATAAATTCAGGTTTGGGTAGCTTGCACTGCTGCAAAATATGCGTTTGCCCTGAGTTTTGTGGAGTTAGCAGTGGTCGTTTATTTGCATATGCGCGTTGTCATGTGTATTCCGCGGTAGGCTTCTCATTTGTTTGTCATGTGGCGGTGTGACGTCAGTGTTGTTTACGCTTGGGTTTTTCATCCCGGCTGTCCCTGGCCGCCCGTATTTCCTGTGCATCCGAGCACTTCTGGTCACAAGGCCAACCTATAAGAAGAAGCTCTCTAAGACTCGTGCCGGGTTGTGGTCCATGAGAGATGAAAATTTGAGCATACTTTCACTTTAAGAATATATTTGCAAAAGCATCCAGGATTCCTTGGAAAAGGCCTTTGGAAAAACAAAATTAGAAAAAATGTTTTTGGTGGAAAAACGTGAAAAGCCGTTGAGGACGTGCAAAACCTCTGAGTTTCATTGTGTTTTTATTTTCCTTTAATAGGTCTTATTAACCATCCCAGGGTGGTAAGCGTGATGCGATTACCGAAACAAAACTGACCAAGCTTATGCGTATCTGCGTGAACAACGTTCAAAGATGACAAATGTATGGCACTCTTAAGCACTGCAATGCGTTATCTCTTCGTCATGCATGCGGAGATACATTAACCTGTTATAGAAGTGGATATAACATACATGACTTCCTGGTGGCAGGCGGAACCCTATGTCATTTGAGAACTTTACAGAGCTCAATCAGCGACGTTCGGTGAGCAACTCAGTCGCAATATTTCATCGTTTGAAATCCTTCTCCTGCCCGCATGTTGCAGGAAGAACCGCGGTCCCGGGAGCATACGTTCTGCAGGAGATCAGCTTTAACCCACTGCTCCGGTTCTTGTATGGTATTCAGTGGTTCTTCACCAACGTCAGTGGCGTGTTCGCCGTCGTCACCGTTAACGTCGCCTTCATCGGTAAGTGATATCGCAGCATATCCCATGAGCTGAGACTCAGCCTTTGAGACGGGCACTGCTTGGTACACCAGATGTGAAAAAAGAGATTTTTCTTCCTTGTAGTTTTCCACCCAAGGGTACAATATCGTTGCTACGACGGCGCTGACCTACCGATATCATTCACATCAAACCAAGCTTAGTTACCAGCTCTCACAGCAGCGCGTTAAGTCTACAGTGGAGTCGAGTTGGCCAGTCGGCCAGCGACTCCTGACTGCCGGCCTTCTACAATCGCCACTGCACGTCCTCACGGCTAATATTTTCTTTACCCAACCAGCCCGCCACCCAGAGAACTGCACCGATACGCATCGCAGCCTATTGCTTATTAGCTGCACCCGCCTGTTAACCACTCAATTGCGTTTCCAAAGCGCTTAGATTCTAAATTATGGACGAGTTTCAAAACCATTTACACACTTATTTTTATTTTGCATTTATAACGCACAATTAGTGCAAACAAAGCCCATTGCAGCTGAGAGAAACACAAGCAGCGACATTGTTTCTGGTAGCATTTGGTAAAATATCTACCAGATATTTCGTAATCGTCCTGTCCATACCTATACAAATCCATCCCAACTCATCCTCTTACCGGTGGCGCAGGCAGGGGTGCATAAGACCCTTCGGGCTTTTCGGGACCGACGATTAAATACCTGATTTGAAGGCCCAAAGGGCCGGCTGGAGATCGTATTAAGAGACCATGGCCAGCAGGGCAAGATCCTCAAATAGCGGTTAGAGAGCCCATCGCACCGATCTCTATCTGTGAATGGCCGACCGATGCCGACACCTTATCCCTGCCGTGCCGGGTTCAGAGGACGACAGCAGCGGCGCCTTCCGTGCCGCCCGCTACTTCACCAGCCTGTTGTACGTCCTGCTGGACCATCTGGTGCACAACCAGCCCAAGCACATGCTGCACGTCTTCTACTCGCTCTTCCTGCACGTCATCTACATCGTCTTCAACGCCATCTACGTCATGGCCGGCGGCACAACGGCCAGCGGCTCGTCCGTGATCGACGGCATCGACTGGAGCAACACGGCCACCACCAGCGGCTTCGTCAGCCTTAGCGTCTTCCTCGTGTTCCTGGCGCACGGTGGCCTGTGGCTTCTGGCGCGCCTGAGGGAGGTGCTCTACAGCTGCCTGTCGGACGAGCACGCCATCAAGCTGCCCCTGGGCACCACCGGGCCGCCGCCGTACGGTGCCATGCGCCAGGACCCGGAAGGCGGCCATCCGAGTCCCGTCATCAAGGTCAGTAGACTGTGTGACCCGTGAACACTTTAATCTCAAAGGTCTAACCCTGCTTGCGCTTGGGGCATTGTTAATTATTTGAGGAGATATGACTGATGAACGTAGTGCATAATTCAGGACCACACAGTGGCCGAAGTGATTGCTCGCAGCTGTGTCTTCTGCCATGACGGCGATAACGCTCAAATGTGCGTTATAATTACACCCGTCGCATGCGTTTTGCATTTACACCTGCTTGCTTACTGCATAGCATATTTTCATTTGTATGCGGGAGATATCTAAAACACCAAGCAGCACGCTATTGACAGTCGTTCAACCTGTTTGCAATGCAGTCAGGTATGAGCAGAAGCCTAACCGGATCCCTGAAAGACGCGGCATCCTTTCGCAACTACTGTTCACCATTTCAATCTGATCTCACGATCCTGTCTGACACCGTCTCGGTGCGATCCCACGCCACGCTCGGCGAGATTTCCTGCTCGTTTCTGGGACCGTTTCGGTCCGATCTTGCGCCCCTCTTGGTCCGATCTCGCGCCCCTCTCGGTGCGATCTTACGCCCCTCTTGGTCCGATCTCACGTCTCTCTTGGTCAGATCTCACGGCTCCCTCGGTCCGATCTCACGCCCCTCTCGGTCCGATCTCACACCTCTCTTGGTCCGATCTCACGCCCCTCTCGGTTCGATATCATGACCGTCCCTGACGTCGTCTCGGCAGGAGAAGCAGAGCCATGCAGGCGACCGCAACAGCCCCACCTCGAAGGCGACGCCCATCCCGGGCCACCAGCCGCTGCCGGCGGAGGTCGACCCAGCCGCCGCTTCACCGATCACGACCGGCAGCTCGCCGGCGGGGTCACGTGACCCGGCCCAACCCCGATAGAAGCACCCCGACACCAAGTTCTGTTGGCGTAGCTCTCCATGCTGATTATTAACAGTGGCAGGCATGCGCGGGCTGACAGGACGGCATGCGCATGCTGACAAGACGGCATGCGTGTACGGCTGGCATTTTGGCGTTTGCTCTGTTAAACCATCTGCTCCAGACTCGCACCTCCTGTCTGTGACCGATCGAGCCGACCTAATTGGTCAGTCGGTCGGTCTGACCTGGCCGGGCCATCCAGGTCAGGTCAGGACGTGTGGAGTCAGGCGAAAGGCACGTGTGCTGGCAGTCATTCCGCGCACAACGTACTGGTGGAATAAAACTGAGAGGCTTGTTTTTGTGCGTCATGTTACGTCAACGAGTGTCAAGAGTTTAATGTGGTATAGTATGTGTGGCTTTCACAGACTCTCCTGAAATTTGTACTCGTCTTGCACTACATTGTACCTCGTGGGGCTTACGCACAAGCTGTGCACTTTTCATGCAACAAGGGAATTTCCTTTTGCATTTTCCCATCAGCATCGGTCCAGCACCTAGACTGCAGCGATACGTGCGTGCGCGAACCGTGTAGCAGGTGTCAAAGGGTGTGCGTGACTCTAGAACAGGGACCGGTGCGCATGAGTTATGCGACTTGGCATCTGCAGACCACAATATCTCTGGTACTAGCCACGGCTCGCACTCGGACTCAGGTGTGTATTGCGGTGCGCAACTTGACCGAGCTGGTATCACTACCAGTTACCCGTTTTCATATTCGCTATTCCGGTTTGGGAACTATACCTGCGTCTGCACAAAACATGCTGTAACCGCAGGATGTCACGCGAATCTGTTGGTTTTGGTTGTTGACTGCTCCAAACTGTGGTGTTTTGAATATATGCACGTGTGCACGTGTGAATATATGCAATTTAAGTGCTGAACGATACATTCTCAACAGGATATGCCTTGACAAAACGGCTTCCATGCAGGAAACAGCATAGCAGGACAAGTGTCAAATAACCACACTGTAAAAGACGGTAAGTATCTTTGACAGGACATGTCGAGAAACGGGTGTCTGTTCTATGCAAAAAGGCATAACAGTCAGACAAAGTGGTGATAACCCAGACAAATCAACGTCAGTATACGTGATGTAACAAGTACCGAAACGCGTTTGCGCATCTTTGCACGGCAGCAAATCATATACGTCCGAGCCCAGCACAGACATCGAAGGGTCGTCTCTAACCTCAGCACAGCCGCAGAACAGTCGTGTAACTGCAGAACAACCACGCAGCCATGATGTGGCCACCGCAAAAGCACGGAATAGTCATCCAGCATCGAGAAACGCGCCGTCAGCGGGGCGAGCGAACAAAATGGCTGCATTGCGTGGATAAGTGTGATGTAGCGCCAGCTGATAGAAATACAACGGTTCTATCAAATGCACACGGTTGCACTTTCCGTGCGCAATTCCAATTATTTTTGCCGTGCCGACGTATCCTGGCTACCAAGCAACCGTGCGGATAGCCTCATTTAATACTGCTTCATAAGGGTGTCATATGACGAGATAATGCCGGCAGATGACCGATTTGCATAAGCGGGCAACAGTGCTGTCACATCGGCATCGCGTGTGCAAGGTTGTACGGCATGTACGCGAAAATCCGTTTTTGAATTGATCTTCGTAACTTTGCAGACCGTCGCTGACGCCGACACCCCCCCCCCCCCTCCCCAGCATTGAATGATGCAGTTTCATGACGCTAACCGAATAAATTGGATGCCCTGATCGGAGACATGTGCCAGAGTGTCAGTTGATAGCCGTGCAAGGTTGACGTAGAATGCACTTTGCTGTCCTCCTTGGGCGCAATCACGAGTATCTTGTACGGGTCCGCCAAAGTCTAGCCATCGCGCGATGGGCCTGTCGGCAGCACTTAGTAATACACCGTCCGGTAAGCATGCGGAAACACCAAGTGACGTTGGCCAATGGCCGGTTTACGTTGCCGGTCAAGTGATGTTGACCAGTGACCAACTTACATTGCATCATGTGAAGAGGTTTGCAGCCGCCGCAAACTATCATAAGTACTTCAAATTGCACCCCGTAACTTTTCCGATCGCTTCTGCCGCCAACCCACCCGCATTGAGTCATGCTTTTTAAAGGAAGTACTTTACATTTGCATGAGACTCCGACCTGAAATACCCATTTTGAAGATGATTCGATGCTGATCATAGCCCTGCCCTTGCTGATGCGTATAGCCCTCCAGGTTCTGAGCTACACACACCCGAAGATGTGTAGACCATTTTGTGCGGTCCACCTCAAGGTCATTCAGGCATGTATGGCGCCAAAGCAACGCCATTCTAATCTTGCCACCCCATTGGCCATGTGGCATTCAAAGTCAAGAAGAATATTGCCGTCCAGCCTTTCGGACCTGGTGTGCTTACATCAATAGTTACAAAGGAGCTATACCAATACCAATACTTATAATGGAGTATATTTCGTCATAACCGATACTGGCTTAAGTACTTTTAGCTGTCAAATATTCCCTTTAAATGGGTTTATATTTACGCAACTCACCCGTTTGGGCAGCGCCATCGTAAATGCGTGTGTGACGTGTAATGACGTACAGTACAAAAAAAAAAACGCTAGTGAAGCTCGTTTTTGTTGCAAAATAGTGCTGGGATTTGGGGTGGCGAGTATTCACATGCGTCATAATGCTGAAGATCCTCACAGCACGCACACAGGATACTGAAGTGAGCTGCAGCTTTTACATAAACGATGAGGCATTGTTTTGGAGACTCAGGTATACTTCCAAGGACCTCCTTGCACATCCAGTTGACTGCAAAGCAGCAGATTGCCATGGCCAAGGTCGCGGGTCTGAGGTGACTGGTGCAGTTGAGACTTGTCGGGGGCGAGTTGGAATGCTTGCATTTGGAGTAAAACCATGTGGAGGGAGTCCTCTTCAGTAAAAAAGAAAGCAACGTGATGCACATAATCAGGCTCTTCTTATGGGGCGCCAGCGACTGCATTGGTCATATTAGCGGCCAGGGACCATGGCGCAACCGGGATTCGAATTTCGGAAAAATTAAACTCGAACCCGGGCTCCCCATGGGGGCGGCCGATGCTCTAACACTCGACCAATACACTTCCTGCACGTAATCCTCCATATGCAACGAGCTCAGCCACAGGCAGAACTTTATAAGTTTACACGGAGTTGGCATGGATTGTTCGTGCTCTGATCCCGAGAGCGAGGGCACAGGCATACAGTATTATCATGATTGTTTTGCTAAAAATGTGGTATAGGGTTCAGCTTGGTATTAAATTGAGCATCCCACCTTTTTGTACCTATTACGTAGTGTTGCATCAGATGCGTACGATTTGATCACTGATGCCGGTTTTCTCGAAATCCGTCTGAGTAGCCCAGAATTTGCAACTGAAATAGCCGGCCCTGCGAGAAATCCCATTTAATACCCCGCGCACCAGTATGCATTTCATACATTTCATCTGCCTTGCCTTTTACAAGGTGTGTGTTCTGTAATGTTTCAAAAACATCAAGCTCAAAATATATGTGCAATAGATGCTGCAAAAGTTTGAAACACTGTTTAGACAAAACCATCTTACCATCGTTTAGAAACCATCATACCACAAATTCAACGACACGTTATACTATGGCTTTGGTTTTTCCCCCATGGCTTTTACCACAGTGGCTGTTTTCGGAGTGCACTTTGGCTCTGGGAGCGTGAGTATCACATGGTTCATCATGATGCACTGTTTCAAAGCTCAGCCAACCAACTTATCGGCAACAGGCTGCCGTAGCACTCACGGAATCCCCGTTCCTCCGCCTATGACCGAAGGCACGTCTTAATTAATTTGCCCGTCCCATATCTGATGGTCTTCTGCTTCGTCACCAGCAGTCACTGTACTTGATTTTTCAGATAAGCAGACATTTCATGGCATGTGCATATAGCCACATACAAGCCTTGTTTTAGGCTTGCAGACAGTTAGGTACTTTTCACGCTGTGGCTATGTGCTTAATAAGCCATATTGCCACTTCCTTCCGTCCTGCCACTTCTTGTTCACCTCTGGAGGACGGTCATCTAGTGGATTCACGAAGAAGAGAGAGATAGAGAGAGGAGAGAGGAGAGAGAGAGATAAGAGAGAGAGAGATGAGAGAGAGACGAGAGAGAGAGGAGAGAGAGAGAGAGAGAGATAGAGATAGTATAGTAGATATAGAGAGAGAGAGAGACGATAGAGAGAGAGAGAGAGAAGAGAGCGAAGAGAGAGAGAGAGATAGCGAGAGCGAGATAGAAGATGAGAGATAGAGAGAGAGAGAGAGAGAGGAGAGGAGAGAGAGAGATAGAGAGAGAGAGAGAGAGAGAGAGAGAGAGAGAGATAGAGAAGAGAGAAAGAGAGAAGAGAGAGAAGATAGAGAGAGAGAGAAGAGAGAGAGAGAGAGAGAGAGAGAGAGAGAGAGAGAGAGAAGAGAGAGAGAG